CCCCCCCCCCGCTCCTCAGCAGGTGTGGAGGGGCGTGATCCTACCGCAATTAAGCGATGGGAAAATAAGAGAAGTCTCTGTTCGGCCCAGGAGTAGGTACCGGGCATTGCTGGGGCTTGGCAAGAATAGGTTTGGTTCACGATTTAGGCGATTTTTCGGGTAGAACTTAAAAAGCGGTTAAAGCATCACTGTCCTGTTAGAACAGGAGTCAGCAAAGTTACTGTAACTAATCAAGGGCTTCCTGTTTGCTGCCTGGGAAAAGAACCAAAACAATTCACCTAATTTGAAGATTTAAAACAGATCTTTTTATTAAAAGTTTACAATAATTTATGTATTTTACAAATGAATAGAAAGTCTCTCGATATATATCATATGAATCACAATACAAAAATATGTGTAAAATTCTGCAATTGATCCCTCCAGCCCTGGTCTGGCCTCTCACTGGCTGCCTCCGCACTGACCCACGGGGTGGGTGTGGGGACGGGGTCGGGGGGCTGTGTCACAGCACGGCTCGGGGCGCGCTGCCCAGCAGGAAAAAAAAAAAAAAGTTTTCTCTGGTTTACGTTTTGCATAAGTTTACAATAGTTCCTCTTCCCAGCACGGTCCGCGGCAGGTCCCACGCACTGATCACACCCGGATTTCCTGAGTCTAACGAGGCCCCGCGCGGTGCGGACACACGCTGCCCACGGGGGCCGGGGGTCGCTCCCCCCGAGGGAGCCCGGGCGCGTTGTCCCCGCGGTCCGGAGCGCTGCCGGCGGGTGGGTAAGGCACTCGGGGGAACGCTGAAGGCTACGGGTGTCGCTGGGGCAGGAGACGGTCAGAGCAGCCACGGGCCTCCCACAGCCCGACCCAGGCCGGGCCTGGAGCCCCCGGCCGCTGACAAACCCCCGCGGCTCCCGCGGATCGCAGTCAGACACATCGCTCCGGGACGCGGCCGGGGCCACCGCGGTGTCACCCGCCAGGACCCACCCGGGCAGGATCCACCCGGGATTCCCTCCCCGCCCTGCTCGGGTCCTCCCGGGGTGCGTGGGTCACGCAGCGGGGAGACACCCGGCTCCTCCGGCCCCACGGGTGGCAGCTGGAGGGAGGGCGGGGGAACCCCGCAGGACGCTCCCCGGTGAGGAGCGCTGGTGGCCGGAGGGCAAACGAGATCCCACCCGGCTCATCCCGGGGCGAAGGGGGGCAGCGGCTCCGGAACGACCCCTCCCACGGCCAAGGCCTCACGGTACAGACCCTCCTGCAGCCCCCCCTTCGAACACAAAGGGACTGGCAACCGAGCGAAAACCCTCACGCTGAAATCAAGGAGCACGTTTATGTGACTTTCCTGGCTGTGCATTTGTAAAATAAACCGTTTTGAAAACATTCTTTGAGCCATTTTTTTTCTTTCCTATGTACATATCTTTTTACATATAAATATTAACATATACATAAGCATAATCCCTTATTTACACACGTACCTGTCCTGTACAGTTAGCTTCTCAATTAAAAAAACATGATTAAAAAAGTCTAATTAATGGGAAAACAGAACTGGAACTGCAGACACGTCCACAGGAGGTGCAGAAGCACGGCCTGAGCCAAGAGAGATGCGATGGGTCCAGGCCACATCAAAGGGGCTGGTGGCCCCCGTTCCGGGTCCCCAGCAGCCCCCAGGGGTCAGCCCCGCGGCCCCTTTGGTCTGAGGGGTGCTGGCCCGGCCGGGCCTCAGGCTGCAGGCAGGGACCTCTCCTGCTGCTTGCAGTTCTTCCCATAAATGAAGTATGTTAAGACATGGAGTATTTAAGCAGAACTCCCAACGGACACTTAGGGTTTAACAATGTTTTAAGCACGAAATGCAGGAAGTAAAAATGCAGCCCATCCATGTAATCCTGATATTGGTATCTGGTAGAATTGGACTTTGTTAAATTACTTTTATAATAGAATGATATGCTGATATCAAAATCCATAACTTTTGACTTAAAATGCCATGTTACTTCAGTACAAATGTAACACTTCTCTTAACAATTAATTTCCTTACATTTTTGTAGTCTAGCTCCCTTTGCTGTTCACACCGTCCGGTTTGAAGCAGGCGATTGATGCACAAGTATCCGGAGAGTTTTTGGAATCTCGGTATCAAGGGATTTTCTTCGTAGCTTTATAAACTCCACACACGTCTGGGAAGCAGAGCAGGGTCCTACGGAGCAAAACAAATACCAGGTTAACTCCAGCTGGGGTTCTCTCTCCAACACGTGGCTTTTAGTCCCAAGTACTACATCATCTGCATTTCATGGGGTTTGCTGGATTGTGTTAAGTAGCACTCAAATAAGTCTACAGTTGGAGCCTACTTAGCCAGTTGCTGGGTTTTCTCTGAAAAAAAAAAGATAACTTATTGAATGTTAAATGTACTATTGTTTATATGCTGTACCATGCATTATGTTATTCCCTTTTCTTAAGCAATACTCCCCAAACAGTTCTCAGGTAACACAGAACAGAACATAATGATGATAATGATGAATTTAAAATTTGCCGTAACTTCACACAAATCCTGAGGCTGCTCTTCCCAAAGGCCACCTCCCCTAGCGCCCACATCCCTCCCCTTCGGAGCATCCCCTTTGGAAGTGGCAAGTGAATTCCCGGGACACAGGCAGTGCTGTGGATCGGAGCAGTGACCTTCAACACCCCGAGATGCTGCCACTTCTGCACCACAGACAATTTGTTTGATAAGTATTATTTACTAGGAAAGGTACAGATCATCCTCCTATCAGAAATCAAAGGAAAGGAAAGGCTAAGAAAATCTAGGTAAATCTGTGAGCTGGCAGAGAGCTGGGGCAGAGCTGGTACGAGCTGCCTGAGCGGGTGCCAGGACATGCCCTCCAAGCAGGAACGGCCGTTTCCCAAGCTGGGATTCAGGCCAGCCCCTGTGGACACACAGCCCTGGCTGCTCCAGGACAGGAGCTGGGTTCTCCTGCCAGGCACGGGCACCTCGACGCGAGCACGGGCTGCTTCAGAGACAGCTGGTCCCTACTGAGAGCTTTCCATCACTGCCACGGGCAGAGGAAGGAGCTGTGTCACGGGGACGACAAGTTGATACTCTGCAGAGCCAAATTCCACCTCCTCAAGTGAGGAGAGATGGCAGGAAAGGCAGGACACCCTTGGGGAGAAGGGAATCCCTTTGTCTGCCCCATCCCGGGTTCCCCGGGCTCTCCGTGTCACCCCTGGCTGGAGACCAGCCCCAGGCAGGAGGGGACTTTCCAGGGCAAACACTCAGCCAAGGCTCGGGAGGATGAGGAACCCCCATTCCCCAGCCCTTCTCCCCCCATCCCTCACCACTACACTGAACACCCTCCCCTCACTGGTGTTGGGGCACGAATTAACCCTTCCCGTCAGGGGGCTCTTCCCTCCCTCGGCAGCCAGCCCTGGGGGTGGGAGCTGCGCCGCCCACACCTGGAAAACTAAACCTGAGGAATTTTAACAAGCGATTCCTAGAAAGACATGGAACGTGGAGGAATGAAGAGCAAATGCCATTGAAGGCCCCATCCCGTCACTGCGAGGCAGGCGGTGGCGCGGGGACGGGCAGGGTGGTCACAGCCAGTTTGTGTGACGGTGGCCGCGGGCGCCAGGCGCTCGCTGCGGATCATGTCCCCTGCCACTTCAGATGTCACCACAGAGCTGTCTGGGGCTCTGTCTGGGGGCTGCTCGTCCCTTGTTCTAAAGGGAACACACTGATCAGTCTCTCAGCATGGCATCTTCTGCCTAAGAGATTATTTTTTTTTTCAGAAAGCTGTAAAAATGGGACAAAGGAAGCATTTAAAAACGGATGGATGCTCTAATATTTGTGCACCTGAGCATTCACTGCTCGTGAAAAACTGCAGCTTCACTGACCTACAGCAATGCAGAAATCCAGTTCATCAAATACCATGGGCACAATTTTGTATGGAAAAGGACCGATTGCCTTTGTCAGCCTGTTGTTTCCGTGCACGGCCTCTCACCAGGGCTGGGGTGGAAGGAGATCCGCCGCATGTTTCTTTATTTCTAAGTGGCGCTAAGGGGATTTGCTGGCAGTTTGCTCAAACACAGCACCCTGAGCTGTAAATCCCATCCCGCAGGCCCTGCGGGGAGCGCGCAGGCTGCGGCCGGGGACGCGGCCGGTGCCCCCCGGCAGATGGGCCATCTGCCCTCGCAGCCAGCGCTGACCCTGCAGGAGCCACCATATGGCTGCGGGGACGGGCAGCGCCGGCGGCTCCTGCAGCTGCCTGGGAAAACAGAGAAATGTTCAGGGAATAACAAAAAGGCAGCGCAAGCACCAGGCAGCCATTCAACTCCTTAATACCCTACAAAACCCCACTCCGCTGATGGGAAGCAGAGTGAATCATCAGCTGAAACACGGGTGCAGGTTGAAATTGGTTGAAAATGTGAAATACTATTTGCTTGAGCACCCCAACACCGTGCAGTGAATGTCACCGGGAGGCGTGCCACGGTGTGCCTGCCGTCACAGCTGGCAACCTTGGTGGTTGTCTCGCTGAAAAGGGCAAAGACACAGTGAATTTGGGCACTAAAATAATCATTTCTAGCCTGGAGGAGTTCTGCTTAGGGCCAAATTGCCAGGAATTAGAAGAATGAACCTGAGTTGGTCACTTTGGTGCCCAGCACCCACCAGCTGGAGGCCCTCCATGAGCCCAGGCTCTCACCAGTGCTGGTCCCAGGCTGGTGCCACACGTGGCGTTGCCAGCTGGTCCCTGGGGCACTGCAGGGAGGGCAGGAGATGCTGGAGGTGGCTCCCAAGCAGATCCTTGCTCTCTCCCAATGGAGATGTGAGCACAAGAACCCAGCTGCCCTCTGCCAGCCGTAGGGGGGCCAATAAACCCTGCTCCTGGGACCCTCGTCACCCGCTCTGGGAAACCACGGCTTCAGGGAGCCCTCGCACAGTCACTGCTGGGGCTGGGGCTGCATCCCGGGGGATCCCACAGCCTTTGTCACTTGCACATGTGAATGCAAATTCTCCCTGTCATCCCACTTATCAGCAACACTGAGAATAAAAAGGTGGAATTTCATTTTCATGTTAAGAAAAACTGGGCCAGGCCTGGGTTCCTCTTTATTCTCCCCTCCCTCTCCCACTAGATCCACGTGCAGCATCCCTGAGAACAAAGCAACCTCAGTCCATTTATGGCACATTCAATCCCTGTCCTTCTAAATGCAGATGACCCGTTGGTAACTACGGCACGGGAGGGAGGAGGTCAAAGAACACAGGGAGATCAGAAATCATGAGCAGAATGAAATATTGAGGGTTTTTTTTTAACCATTTCAAATAGGGGAAAAAAAATGGCCATTTAGTTCAATTAAGTTCTACAGAACAGTGAACATTGTGTGTTGGGGCAGATGATGGGGCAGGGCCCTGGTGAGGAAGAGGGGGCGACCTCTCCTTTCTCTTTTACTTTTTTTTTTCCTTTTTTTTTTTTTCCCCTGGGAAAAAAAAAGAAACTGCTAATTACAATGGAGTTACGGTGATTTACAGTAGATAAAGATCAGACTAATAATAGTTACGGATCTTTCAATACTTACACAAATTACAGCTGCAATCACAGCTTAGAAAAAGTGCACCTTATTTTTTAAGACATTTTGTGCAAATACCTGAGTGTGTGAGCCAGGTGAGCGGCAGAAGACCCCTCACACAGTTTCCCTGCTTTAATTCTCTACTGAGTGAAAGTAAGTCCCTGCAAAAATTCAAAGGCTTCCACAGGAGCATCCTCCTGCCTCCAGCTAAAAAAATAAATAAATAAAGTGCTGTGGGCAAAGCTAGTTTGACCATAAAACCGTGCTGGTCCCTTTTGCCCACAGCACTCACCCCTGAGCATCCCGCGCCCGCAGCCCCCGTCCACCTCCTCCCTTCAGGGCAAAGCTCCACCTGAGGCTGCCGCATCCCTGCGGGGGCAGAGCGACCCCATCCTGCTCCTGACCGTACTGATTTGGAAAATTCGGGGGGTACCCCCCCTTAAAACAGCCAAATACACCAACTGAAGGAAAATTACCCGACACCATCCATTTGTGTCGATCAACCTTGTGAACATATGCTACCCAAAGGAACTATTCATGAGCACAAAAGCATTTAAACTTCATAAATATTTATAGGACAGGAATCTGAAACGCTGTTCCTGGAGTCCCAGCCCCCCCGAAGCTTCTCCCATCTCGCAGGGCTGGGGTGAGCCCGGAGCGGGTGCATCGGGGCGGGCTGGGATGTCAGGCATCGCCTCTCCAACGCGGGCAGCCCTGACCTAGATGGGAGCCTCCACGTCGCCTCCCATCACTGCACCCGGCAGAGATGGGGCTAACCAGGATAACAACCACTACTGCCGATTTTTAACCATTTCTAGTCGCTTTCCTTCACAATTTTACACCATAGACAGACCCACACGTGGGGCAGGGCTGGGTCTCCGGCCCCACATCACACTGGTGCAGGGGGAGCGCAGGGGCCCTGGCAGCACGGGTGGGCTTTACCCATCTCTCCTTAATGGAAATCCAACACGGACACACCAGAAACTGCTTCTGCTTTCTCTGTCCTGTGATGCTCAATAGCAGGGTTTTAAAGGCTGTTTCCTTCCACCACAAGCCATCGACGGGCAGTGCTCCTTTCCACGGCGGTGTCAGGAGACATAGCTGCAATTAGCACTCTCACAAATCTGCTAAATTACAAATTTACAGCCTTTAGGGTTCGCCGTTCCCTCTCTGGGTACAATTAGTGCCAGCTGAAAAGGTTGCCTTGATTTGATGATGTGTGAGTATTTCACAGTCCTAATACCTCGGTGACTGGGGGCTCCCCGACAGCCCCTCTGACACCCCTGTCACCAGCTCCTTGTACCCCTGGGGTGTCTTCTTGTTTACGAGGAGGAGACTGGCCACGGGGCCAATCTGTCTGCAGAAAAAGCCATCGACAGATGGAAATCTCCCGCATCTGCCCCTCCAGAGCTGCGTGAGGCCGTTACGGGGCTTGAGTTTCTCAGCCACGTTCTGCTTTCCCAGGGGAGGTTTATCCGGGATCCCTCCCGGCCGGAGGAGCAGACGCGTCCCCCGAGCGTCCCCCCCACAGCGTACGTGTGCTGAACACACACAGACACCCTACAAACAGGAGAGTTTCATGGAGCAGAGAGAGCACCCCCCTTGTGTGATCCTCTCCGTCACCCTGCAGCCACCCCACGCCCCGTCCGTCCCCCGGCCGGGCTGTCCCCCCTCTGCCAGCACCCCCAAACCCCAAACCCACAGGAGCAGGGCTGGCAGACACACGATTCTATGTCATCATAAAACCAGACAAAAACCAGACAACTAAATGTTTAAGACTGGAAAACTCAGCATCCTGATAGCTAATAGTGCTAAATAGTAAAGTCAAACATTGATCATTCTCACCTAATTATCTAATCAACTGTGACTGCCCAATACATCAAAACAGAATCTGCATTTTTATGCTTCTATGTACACATATTATATGGAAAGGATACCTCACGTCCAGGATATCACAGAATATCTCAAGTTGGAAGGATCATCGAGCCTATGATGACACATATGATACTATCACAGTTGTGCCACTTTTTCAGGTCTATTACATGAAATGTCTATGAATAAAGAGCACGAATTTACCAAAAGTTGTGCCTATCGGCACTGTGAACTAGTTATAAAAAAAATGTGGTTTAATCCAGCTAATTTGGATGTAAGATCAAGATCTGATTTTCCAGATAATATTCCAATGGTTTGTTGTGCATCTTGGCTCTACCAGAAGTGGAAGGGTGAGGTCCCTGCCAGGAACCAAGAAAAGGTTTCTGCTAATTTAGAGTATGCTCAAAACCCCATGTTTTTCTTCCTTTGCTGCTATGGATCAGTGTAACAACTTCCTCCAAGGTTTTGACTGCTGCAAGCCTTGCAAATTAATGCTATGCATATATAAATGTATTTGTGTATGTATGCAGGGGGTGTGTACACAGAGATATCAATTTACAAATATAATGCATTTTTAAAAAACAGTTCACTTTAGAATAGATTTCCCAGCTAATTAATTCTTCAGGCTAATACTGAGTTTGGTACGTTATAAAAATCTGTGTCCTTATTATTTACAAGAACTCAGCAAGAATAAAATTAAGGGAAAGAACGTATCAGACTTAATGACAAGTGAATCTGCTGTGCCTGGGAGTACTTCAGAAAACGAATGATGAAATGAATTATTATCTTTAAAAATAGCTCTGTGGATCCGGCTTTTACTGTGCAAACCCCAGGAGTTGCGCTGAGTGTGTGTTTCCATTGTAATTACCTGTTTGTTGGTTTTCCCTGACAGAGCCCTGCGTTGCTGAGAGGACAGAGGGGTGAAGGCAGCATTGCTGTGAGCGGCTGGTGCGGGGGGCACAGCAAGAAATGCTGGAATTGAGCAGAAATGTCTCAGTGGGTGTTTGTTCCAAACACTGGGCTCTGTCGGGAGCGTGACTCCAGTTTTCTTTCCAAGAGACAAACATGGGATGGAGGGTCCTGGGGTGCTGGGGGGAAGGAGATGCAGCACAGAGCTGCTGCTGCTGCTGCTGTGCACGAGTTTACGGGGTGTTTACACTCTGAGAACTCTTTGCTGCCCTCACAGACCTGGGAACACCCCTATTGATGACGCTGTGTCTCAGGTACAACAGAATAGGACCGGGGCCTCTTGGTCACAGGGAGTAAAGGGTTCCCCCGGTGCTGCCCAGGAAGCAGAACATGGAGCTACTGCCATAATAACCCAGATGCTCTGCTTAGGAGGAAGGTCTCAGCAGCTTCAGACTGCTTTGCTGTGGGAGTTCAGGAAACAGAACAGCAGCCTCTTCACAAAGGAGCTCTCCCCGTGACCAGAGCGCTCCCCAGACGCGCCCGGGGTCTGCGCCGTGCTCAGCCTGTCCTCGAGCACCGGCCTGTCCCATCCCTTCCCATCTCATCCCATCCCATCCCATCCCATCCCATCGCATCTCCTCTCCTCTGAGAATTCAGACTGACATTGTCACCTCCATGCATTTCAGTTTGTAACACCCCCTGACCATTAAAGCAGAAACACAGCGCAACAACACACCCCACGCTGTGACACAAATTGGCCATTATTAATCTGCAGGAAATCACTCTATTCCTGAGACAAATCCTGCTCTTTCCTGAGATGGAGGAAGGCACACAAGTTACAGTGCAGCAGAAATGAGCAGTCTTTGATTCATTTTCTCTCCATCTTTCCACAAATGCTGTTTGCTCATTTGGACTCTTAAAGCCTTGGGTTTCCCCTGCTCAGTTCACTTTAAACAAAGATGTTTCGGGTCATCCTGCACAGCAAAGACCTGCCAATTAGCATTCTAATAATGTAGCTTGTTAGCCTTAGCTCTGTACCCCTGTAAAGAAAGCCATTTGCAACCCCTTTCAAAATGCATGAATATATGTACACACACAGAAGGCAGCTGATAGAATATTACGGGAAAATTTAAGCTCCAGTAGCTCATCATCTCCCCTGTGGATCCCTTCTAGAAGAATGGGCTGCTAATCTTAAAAAAACCCAACCTCTTCTGCCAACTAAAGCACACCAATAAGAATCAGTTTGGCTATGGGATCAATGCAGAAAGAAATTTAAAGTAATTATCTACCAAACCAACAGGTTCATGTGGAGAGGGGCAGCCCTGGCGCAGGAGTGACCCCAGTGAGAGGTAAGTGAAATTGTGAATTAAAATACTTTCCTGAATACTATTAGTCTTTTCAATTCAAAATGAAAATTATTTTCATGTACTGTATTTAAAAGAACCATTTTTAAAGCCCTGTGACTGCTTGCTGCTCGTACAAAGGGGACAGTGCATTTCCTTACCTGCCCAGCACTTTTTTGTCGTGACCACTGACCTAAAGCAATAAAGTTGGCATTTGTCATTATATCATACTGAAATTCAATGCTAAATTACTAAAGTTAAAGAGAGAGAGAGGGATAAATAAATAAAGTTTACTTAAAGGCTCTGGTAATTTCAAAGTTTTCCCTGCATTGTCATTAGAAGCATTTGAACTTGATCGAGGGGGACGGTGTGTGTCACTGCCCGACCAGCTGGTTTCCCACCGACCCCTCTTACCTGCCAGGGGCTCTGGCTCTGGTTCCTGCCCCTCGCTCCCGGGGGAGGGCAGCTCCCCCCACCTCCTGCCCTCGGGGACCTCGGTGACACGGTGGCCGTGGAAAGCTGTGGACGGGAGCCTGTCCTGGCGACTCTCACCGCGGGGATTTCTTCTGGATTCTCCCTCCTCCACCTGTTTTTCTGGAGGATCCATTTCTCCTTCCCAGCTCCGGCACCACCTCCCGGGCCCAGGGTCCCTTGTCCCCAGGTTCTTGTGTCGCCCCAGCCCAGCGCCCGCGGGGCCGCAGAACGTGTCGCCCACTCACTCCTTCCCAGGTTGACATTTTTGTTGGGACAACGTTAGGTCTTTTGTCATCATTTAGGGACAGCAAATTATAAATGATGGTGCCGTATTTCTCATGGTGCTGGGGGCCACGGTCTGCTGAAAACTCCCCCCAAAACTACAACTTGATTTGCTGGAGGGTTCAAACACACCCTCAGGTTTCTCCCTGAAGCTGGGCCCCCGGGGTGTTCAGCCAGCCCTGGTGTACCCCGCGCCACGAACAAACCGCTTCCTTTTCATTCACTTGTATCTTGTCGTGAGTTACTCCTCTGGAACTCTTCCTAAAATCTCTTTTTCAAGACAGATTTTCAAATAACTATGAATAACAAATATAAATGCGGGACATACAAAAGAGGAGACGGGCACTTCTCCAGAGAAGCGATGTGCTGCCTGCTTAGCAGGGAACCAAAGACATTCAGTTGACCTGAATCACCGTAGAGCTCCGTGAGCAAAGCCGAGAGCTATTCCAAGCAGCAGAGCCAGGACTTCCACTGAAAGTCAGTTCGAGCAGCAGAGCCAGGACCCCAGGAAGGAGCCCATGGCTGGAGGGAGGGAGGGAAGGGGTTTTTGGCTTTCGTCTTTGTCAGCTCAATTCTGGCTTTTCCCAACGCTCAGAGGGTCCGGTGGCGCAGGCACCACCCGCGCAGACACTTCCACACACCCTACTTCAGCTGCAGTCTGAAAGGGTGAGAAGGATTGCACCTTCCATCGCCGGCAGCAAAATGTGAGAGATATTTGAAGTTCCTGAAATGGCCATGTCTCTTTTTGTGTCTTGGTAATCAGTGCTGTCTTCCTGTTAGTAACAGAAGGAGCAATTCCAGCTTCCTCGGTAGGCTGGAACAAGAGAAGGACACAAAAACATGGATCAAAACCCAGTATATCTGGGCAAAAATGACATGCAGGAAATTACGGTAAGGATTATATTTATAGCTATCTGTTTGAATTGTACAACTGATGAAAAAGGATTTGTGTTGCATTTCTGTAGCCTTTGGTGACTAATGGGGAATGATCCCCTCGATGCCATCCACAACCTGGCAATTCCTGCCCTCCCTGGAAGCACAAACACATCTGCATTTTATCTCCTGTTCCCTGGAACAGAGGTGGGGCTGGGTAGTATCCAGGGCCCCAAGGCACGATGCTGGGAGAAACACCTTTATAAATGACATGTCCCCCCACCAGCCTGAAGGCAGGACAAGCCAACGCGAGGGCTTTGATCCAGCTGTGAGCGTGGCAGCCAGCCCGGCTGTGAGGGAGAAGGAGCAGTGGCTTTAGACACTGCCATTTTTGGGCTCTCTGGGGCACCTCAGGAGACCCCCCAGCTCTGCTGAGGCCTGAGCAAGGGGAGGGCTCCGAGGCTTTACCAAACGAGGAGGGGGATCAGAGGTGATGTGAGGGCTTACCTTTTGCGTGTGGCCTGAAGGACTATGACCAAAGAATGAAAGCTAAAGAGAAAAATAAAAACAAAAATAAAAACTGAAAAGGGGAGGGAGGAGAGGAGAAAATGGAAGAGAAGAAAGAGAATAAGAGTTTACAGTGTGTTTAGCTGAGAAATAAGCTGTGGTTACAGACAGAGTGCAACAAAACTCGGAGTTGAAAAGAAATATAAAGTGAGAAGGTCGGTCCGGGGCTCAGCTCAGCTCAGGCAGAGCCCAGCAGCCCTCGGGCTGACCAGAGTCCTCTCCTGCCCCAGCAGAGCCAGCCCAGTCACAGCCAAGGGCTCAGGAAAAACGGGGTGGAAAAAAATTAGCTGAATTCTTCTGATACCTCAAAAAACCCCAAACCCCAGACTGCTAAGGTTTGTGCTTAGTTTTGGGTGAAAGTCTGGCTCGGTCCCTGCTGTACCTGAACAAGTTCTCCCATGGGAATCTCACCAGAAATAGCTGGTTTCAGATGAGGGTGATTTTAGGCTAAAATTCAACAGGTTTGGCTTGCCCAGAGACAGCTCGATGCCATTAACCAGGGTGACAGTGGCTGCTGTGGCTGCAGGCCAGCAGGGGAGAGGAGAGGAGCCTCCTCTCTCCCCTGGGGAAGGCAGGTCTGAGCAGATGCTGGAGATGGGAGGGAGAAAAGATCCTCAGCTCCGTGCCCAGAGCACGTGCGAGACCTCACCCTCTGCCCCAGCAGCTCTCATCCCCTCCCAGGGCAGATGGACCCCCATCCCTGCCCAGTCCTGTGCTTCAGACTCAGTGAAGGACAAGAGAAGTGAAGGACATTTCAGTGGGTAACACCTTTCCTTCTCAGAGGGACCAGTGCAAATGCAGAGTGGGGTCCTGGCGCTCTCGCATTAGCTCCCTGCACTAACAAACACAAACTCCTCATGGGGCCTTTTCCTTAGCCGAGGTGAAATGAATACATGGTCATGTGCACATACAGTAACTGTTTCATCTGCATTACCTTACCTTTTCCTCTAACTCTTTTATTTGTCTTTTTTGGCCTTCAATTCTTTCTTCTAGCTCTTTAATTCTCTGTCAGATTTCAAATAAAAAAATATTTATTAACCAACCAAATACAGATGTACCCAGAAGACGCATTATTTTGGGAGATATAAATTGTATGTGCTTCTAAAAAAAATAAATTGGTTTTAAGCTGTAGGTGAGTCCTCCGTGACTGTCACTATGTGTGACAAAGTCACAAAACCCAAAATGCCCTGTTTGTAGAATTATCCAGGGCAAATCAAACTCTGGCCCTGGGACCAGCCGTTCCGGGTACAGCTCTGGGAGGAGAGGCTGGTGCTCACAAGTTCATCACGTTCCCATCCAAGGGACCATCCCACCCCTCGTCCCACGTGCCCGTGCCCCAGCACCTACCTGCTGTGCGTGTTGGATGAGCTCCATCCTTTCCCGCAGGATTTGGGCGTCCCTCTCCCGCAGCTCACTCATCACCTGCCGCTTCCATTGCTCTACCGCGCTCTTCAGCTTCTCTTTCTCCTCTTCTGAAAGAAGTTCGGAAATTTTGGCTCCAGCTTCTTGCTGCAGGGCATCATAGAGCATGGCTTCTAATTCCAGAATTTGCTAATCAAAAACAATATAAGGCTGTCAGCTTGACCTTGTCTCTGTTCGGGTGAGGATTCTGTCAGGAACTGAAAATCCGACCCCGGGAAGGCAGTGGGAGGGGAGAGGGCTGTGTGCTGAGCACAGGAGAGTGTGGAAAACCCAATCCAGGGGAAAATACCTGAGGCTGCTTTCACCCCGTGGGGCTGTGAGCAGCGCTGGGACCGGGACAGTCCCCCCAGCCTGGGCTGCCCCTCGAAAATACAGGGGTGTCAGCTTCTCCCTTCCAGAAATGGGGAGATGGCCGCGGGGAGAAACGGCAAAAAGGAAAAAGGGAAAGGCAAAAGGGAAAAGAGGTTCATAAAAGACTCATTTGGTGAGTTACAGATACTTTTAAAATGCAATGTTCAGTCTCTCAGCTCTCCTTTCCCAGCTGTGCTGCTCGCAGCAGCAGAGGATACGGTTCGTACCCCTGTTCATACTCCTGCCAGGAGGGAGTGACTCCCTGCTGGGTGATTGCAGCTTTTTGTACCAACCAGCTCAAAATGCCCTGTGTGAAGGCATTTCCAGCACTTTCCCTGGCAGAGCTGTCAGCTCCCAGAGCTTCATGCTCAGGAAAAATCTATCTGGTAGCTGGGCTGTGTTCCTGCAGTCTCTGGCTGCAGAGCCTTTCCTCACTGCATCAGGAAATGTCTCTTGCACCCAGATTTCACTGTACGCTCCACATTTGCTGAGATACAGAAGTGTGTAGGGAATGGACTGGCAATGTTTCCCCCGGGTCACCAACCCTGGTGCCCCTCTAGGGCGGGTGACCTTGCCAGACAATGTCTTCTGCTTCAAAGTCCAAGGGGAATGCTATTCCTTCATGCAAGCCAAAAAACAAGACAAAATCTTTTTCTGCAAGTTTGATATAGAGCAAGAGACAAAGCAGCAAATGGTGGCACCTTTGCAGACCCTCTCCAAAGCTGGTGGTGTCTTGCCACCACGTCTCTCCATGGCTTCAGGAGACCATGACTGCTGCAATAGTGGGGTTTGAACCTCTGGAGAGGCTGTTTGAAGGTGTCATAGGTGTCTGTAGTGATAATTCATCTCAGTTCAAAAATTGTCAAGTTTTTCCACCTGAGGCTGCTGCTGGTGTTCTCTTACTATGTCTTAGCAGAGTTAGGACAGAAGAATTTACAAGTGTTTACAAGAATAATAACATCATGGCAGGAGTTATGGACACTGATGATAATGGAAAGACAGCAACCATGGTATCTCTGGGGGGAAGATCAGACAAGATCTCAGAAGAAGATTCTGCTTTCACTTTAAAAATAACACCAACATCCTTGATAACTGTAACTGTGCCACAAATGCTGTTATTTGGAACATGGATTCCTGTTGGGCCTCAAGCCTCGACTGTACAACCGTTATCCCTCCCTGAGTACGCTGACTCGTGAAGAAGGAAGAGCATGGGGAAATTCCTGCTCTCCGGAGCAGCAGCAGCGTCAGGAGTCTCTGTGTGAGCCAAGAGCTTCTCGGAGCAAAATTCCCCGCCAGCAGCCAAAGGGAGTGAAAACCGTGCAAAAAGCTTAGTGGTTACAGCTGGTAATCTCGTTGGCTGCCGTTTGCGGGGAAAGATTAGCGGCTCCTCATCTCACGAGGCACAAAGGAAACATGGCAGTGAAACCAATTACAGAAATCAAAAGAGCTTTTGCCACTGGAATTTTGGAGCAGAACAGAGCTTTCTCACTGCTTCCAGCCTGTGTTTGTGCTGGGAGTGAAGCCCACGGCTTTGCCGGGGGACATGGTGGGATGCACTCAAAGAACGCCCATGACAAGAGCATCACCTCTCTCGGGGCTCATCTTTGAAGATGAATCCTCCAGGCTCAGCCTTCGGCTGCCCCAAACTGCATCTCCGAGCAGCTCAAGGCTGCAGGGGATAATCTGTTTTTAGGGCTGAGACCGCAGGGAAGGGGAAGCTTGTGTCAGTTCCAAGGTTTCTACTGTGCACAGACATTGGTCCCAGACAGCTCAGCATTTGGCAAAATCAGTCTTAAAAATCATCCTTACAGGACAGAAAGCGTACTGAGTAAAAGCTCTCCCAAATGGTTAGAGACACAAATAGAGAATAATATCCAGAAAGAGAGGCATAAATACTCATTGCCGTGTAACTGGGCTTAACACTGAAATGGAACTGAAAGAATGAGATAAATCGATACGAAAATTTATGCATTTATGTCTTTCATGAGTATATATTGAACTTTTCTCTAACTGAGCTGTAATCCAAGATCTAAGGAAATGTCTAGGCTAAAATCTCTATTTTGGAAGGAGAAGAGAAGTTACTGAAAACATTATTTTCCTATCAGTCATTTATTGAGACCTCTGCTAAATTAAAACTTGTGTTTAGGAAGTTAACGTTCAGTTAACTCCTGCAAGGACCACCCAAACCCAAGAAACCCTGTCTGTAGGGGGCTCATGGTAGCGCAGGGCACAGAGGGTATAAAATTCAGCCTGTTTAGTCCTTGGGGGACTCCATGAGCAGCATTGCTCAAAGCAGAGGGGTTTTCTACAGAGAAGAGACTGCAGATATTACAGAATGAACGTTAACCAAGATGACATCATTCAGCCAAGACTGATCTTCCTCACCTTGTGAGCTTGGTCCAAGGACTGTTTCCTGAAGTCCAGCTCGTCATCCAGGTAGCCCTTTTGCTTGCTGAAGAGCTCCTGGGGACAGAAGAAGAGGGGTCAGTGACACAGCCCTGGTGCAATGCCCCTCCTGCCGCTTCTCCCGACGGTTCCTCCCCCCCCAACCCCGGTACCTTTTCGTTCTCGAGATCCAGCATCTTCTGCTGCAGCGCAGACTCCGTCACCTCAATCTGCTGGAGCCACTGCACAGAGACAGAGGGTGCCTGAGCCTACGGAGCAGAGCCAGGGTGGCTGAGCACCCAGCTCTCCCTGCACCCGAGGGTGTGCAGCACCCACCGCCAGGGCTTACTTAAATCCACTGAATAACAGGGGGAAAACTAACTTCATTATTACATCTTTTCTTTTCTTTCCATTGGTAATGGCAAAAAGCATTGTTTCAAAGTCTAGCCTTTTACCTTCTAGCATCATTCTGCTAATGAAGTAACATTTTAAAATAATCAATGTCTGTATTGCCTGAATGTTACCTTTTAATTGACAAAAACTAGTGTAAGTATAATTCCACGTGAACAATCAGAACATTTTGCGATGAAACTATGACTGATATCAGCAGTGTGTTCCAGTGGGCTGTTGTGAGAGGGTCAGTGCTCCCACACGGGCGTGCAGGGGTGCAGTTGTTCTTACCTTCTCAGCCAGCGTGAGAACTGTCCTTGCCTGTATGACAACCACTTGCTCTTCATTGCTCAGATTCTGCACCAAAAGCAGAACGTAATTACAACAAATCCCAGTGTCTTGCTATTAACCCACTACTTGGGCTACTGCTGTGTTAAATAAATATGAAATTAAGTATGTTTAAGGAACAATAAACTAAGGCAAAGAAAATTAGAGTTGTAGTGCAACAGTGTTGTAAAAACGATTGTAACTATTAATGCTGAATTGTTATCATACATATAATTAATTCTTCCAAAATCCCCACATTTACCAAACTACAGATATTGGCGCTGGATCTATTTTCCCCCCCACCAGGGAATAAGCACACAGTGACACAAGACAGAATCAAGCTTAGCACAACGTGCCATTAAGAGAAGAGATGCAGCCTTAAGCCCTCTGTGTTCCATTACATGCACAGCAGGTTAATAGTCCTTACTCCACACAGCCAAAAGGCAGGACTTTTGTTAAGATGTTAGGTTTTCAATTCATGTTTTGGCCTTTTTTGTTTGGGTTTTTTTGTTTGTTTGTTTTGTTGGTTTTTTTTTCAAATGAAAATACAGAAATTCTGTTTTTGTCTGAAAGCTCTGAGCTGAGAACTGTGCACTCCCCCTTGTGTCCTGTCTGGAATTTACTGGTCGTGTGTAAGAGGAACAAAACCCGAATGAGGAGGAATTCCAGACTAGACTAGACATTACGGACTAGAGATCATTGCTGTAGGTAAAGAAGCCAAGAGGAAAAGAAAGGGAACCGAAAACATGAGAAAAACTGTTATTTTTTTGGTTGCTGTTTAGCCTCCACATTGCCTGTGTGGGACGCTGTCCCAAACTGCTCTGCACGGGACCAACCCACCACCAGTGACCCACTGGAGACACCCTTCACGGGGATTACAAGATCCATTCTCTTTCCACACAGCACCGGGTCAGCTCAGCTCATTGGTGATTAAGCTGATAGGGATCATTTTTTTATTCTTTGCAGAAGAAATCTTCTTTAACAGAAGACCCTCTGCTCCCCTCTGCCCCTCTGGCCAGGGGGGCTCGGGGGTTCTGCCCATGGAGGAGAGCACAGGAAAAACCACACACAAGGGCAAATAAATCTTCTGTACCCATAACTATAGGTATAATTAACCACTGCCATTCGCTAAAGGAGAAACACTGTCAACTTCCTAATTATTTGTTTCTTCTTTTCATGCTACTATTGTAACGTTTTGTTGATATCCTGGTTACCGTCGGAGGTTTATGGATTATTAGACAAAATTAAAATACACAGCTGCTAAAATGCAAAAGCCAAGCAAATGCAGAGTAAGCAAATAAACAAACCGTGTGTGAACAGTGACCAGAGAAAAAAAATACATCAAAGCTTCAAAATGTTTCCAAATCATTGAAAATATAAAAGCAATACTGTGACAGCAAGATCCCACATGGCACTGGTCAGAGGGCTATAAACAAAACCGTAAAAAGCCAGAAAGGGCTTGGCTGGAGCCCAGTGCTCGGGGCAGAGGGAGGCCAGGCGGTGCCGTAGCAAACCAAGGAGGCTTTGCTGAGTAAGAGCAGCACAGGTATTTACCAAAGCATGCACAATTTATTAAAGGAACATACACTTACGGCGTTATCCCCTAAAATGTCCAATTTTTTCATCAGCTCTGCTACTACTATGTCCTAACAAGAGAAATGGAAAACCAGGAGTCAGAACAGAGTGTCTGATTTTATTCAGGGAAGGGAAATTAGGAAACGAGAATCCCTTACTGTTACACCTTCTGCCTCGCAGTACACCTGGAGAGGGCTCTTCCCCTCGGTGAAAGGGCCGTGGTGGAAGTTGATGGCAGGCGACCGTCGCTCTCTCTCCTGAAATGACAAAGATTGCTCGGTTTCGGAACGTCACGCGTGGCAGCTTCCCCAGGAACTCGATAAAAGGGTTCCTGCAGAGCAGGACAGACGGACACACCAACAGCACTGCCATCTCCCACAGGGCTGCTGCAGCCGGCACTGGCCAGGGCCACTGACCTGTTATTTCAACTGCATAATACATCTAAACAAAACTATACACTTATACCTAGTATAATATAAACAGCATTTACATTTGTCTTGTAACTGGCTGCTTTGTTAATCTCTCATTGGAGAACTCGGAAAGCAGTTTCCAAGAGCTGATAGATGCTGTTTATTCAGGTGATGATACAGAAAAGAGCAGGCTCAGTGGAACAAACAGAGGGTCTGGGCCATGTGATTCCTTCTCTGCAGGATTAGCAAGAGGTGAAACACAGCAATGATTTTTGGTAATGAAAAAAAGTTCCTTTTTCTTTCCCACGTTCTGATTTTATCTCTCTGCATTTTCGGAGCAGATGGAGTGCAGTAAAATGTGTGTCTACATCATGGGCCAATCTTCTGCGCCTTAAAAGGACTGAAGTAGTAAGACCCCCAGAACAACTTATCAAGAACACCAGTACTGAGCCCTGGGGTTTTGGGGTTTGGTTTTTTTGGCTCTTTTACCAAGCCCTCTGGTCTCATTCAGTGCAAAGCAGCTCTTCAGAGTAAACGTGGGCGAGTTCCCACACCGGGGTGCCCCGGCCTCGGCTCCTGCAGCCCAGGGCAGGGAGCAGGACTGTGGCTGCAACACGTGCTCACCTCAAGCTCCAGGATCCTGAACTCCAGGAGCTCGTTTTGGTCCTTAACGTCCTGCACATCGTGTTTCAAGCGAGCTTCCTCAGCTTCCATTTGTTTTATCTGTGAAATAAAGCACCAGCTGTTAGCACCGTCTGCAGAGGGTCCCTGGAGACCCACCACGCTCTGCCCGTGCCAGGGGAACACGGGGGTCTGAGCCCACCCCTGGGGTCAGCACAAGCAGGGACCATAGCACCAGTGCCACGGGAACACCAGGCTTTGCCCACAACCATGGGCTCACACCGGGACATTTTATGGGGCGACAGGGAATGTCAGAAAATCACTTTTTCTGGCAGGTTTATAAGGATCTTGTAACTACACGTGAATTATTTCTAGTAGAGCTGTGTGATACAGATTAAAATACCATATTAAAATACTTACTATATTAATACTTAAGCTACAAATATAGTTTGAATAATACAAACAGAATATAATAAAAATATATATATAAATATAATAATAAAAAAATAAATATAGTTTGAATAATACAAACAGAAAAATTGAACACCTTTTCTACCAGTTCTTGATTTCTTCTGTACAATGCTTGCTTCTCCTCAATCCACTTCATGTCCTTGAAAAAGAAATGGCCAATACTGCAGGTGAAGCTGGCAATGTTTAGCACAAACCCAGCAGCAAGTATTGCATTAAATCACACATTAGAGCGAAGGGACAGAATAACATTGCATATGAAATTGTAGTTCCATTATTTCCTGTGATACAAAAGCTCACCCTTTCTGTCTTATTTTAACAGACGTAGTATATACAAATGGAACAGAAACACTCCAGTGACTAGAAAACAGCTTTCAGATAAAAGGTTGGTTTGCCTTAAAAGGGGTATTTCTAGCTATGCAGTTACTATTGAATTTCAACTATACTGACTACATCTCTCTGAACACTAGGCAAAATAAGCCTTATTTTGAAACAAATTTCTTAGTTTGATGGATATATAAAAGTCACAAGCCCCAGAACATGATTTATCAGTAAGGTTAACAATAACAAGAGTTGAAGCTGGAAAGGTAAGGATCAAATGATTTAGTATTATTTTAAAGTTCTCAAAAAACATTTTAAGTTTCTGGCTGTTTTTCTGGGGATGGTAATTGCTTCCCTGGTACGGCTGCTTTGTAAGGAAAGAAGCAGCTATTGAAAAGTTGCACCAGGATTATTCTGCAGACAGACAGACACCCGCAGTGTCACACGGAAACGGGGCCAGGCACGTCCCTAGACCCCCCTCCCACCCCAGAGGCTGGAGAAAGGGCTGGTGTTTGCTGCAGGCATTACCTGCCCCTGCTCAGCGAGGGCCTTCTCCAGGTCTTCTATTTGAGCCTGGGATCGGTGGATTTCTGCTTGGAGCTGCTCACGTGTCTGTAGGATACGAGGGAAAAAGACAAAAATAATAAATCAAACTTTTGCTAAAAGACAGAAGCTAACCCAAGTACAGACCCCTTAAAACATCAAATACTTTTAACAAATCATTTAAGTTATGGGGCAGAATAAACTTGCAGCTAAGCACATAACATTAGTCATTAGCCATAAGAAGGAATCTGTAAGACAGGATAATAATGTTGGGAGTGAAGTCACAGTTAACACAAAGAGCCCCCATCAGGTGACAGAGACACCCTCTCTGCAGCGAGCAGCCTTCCCTCCGCCAGAGAAAGGGGTTTGGAAAAGCTGGTGTGATGCAAAGGCTCATTTCTCCATGAAGACAAGTTAAATGATTGTGTCACAGTTCTGGGCACAGCTGATTCCTCTAATGTTGGGCTGCGTTAGGGGGCTGAGAGCAGCCCCTGCAGACGTAATGAGCTCCCGTGCGCTTAGTGCCCCGTCTCAGCCTCCCCCTGTACGGGCTGGAATCTTACGAGACTTAGAGCTCCATGCCAATTTAAAACATTATTATTATTAGCTGTTTTGTTTTCTAAATATTGTTTTATAGAACATTTTATTTCCTCAAACATTTATCTGCCATTTATCTTGTTATTTACAACGAAAATGATTTTATTTGTTTGCATGACCTGCATTGTTGTCTCTTTTCGTCCTACTATGGAAAAAGTAAAATGCAGTCACGTTTCATGGCCTGTTTCATTACGATTTTCTTCACCTGTGCCATTCCTAGCACTTAAGAGCAGAGAGCCTGCCTCTGGGAATGCTGATTTTAATGCAGCTTGGGCATTCAGAGAGAGTGAGTGACCTACTCGCCAAACTGGGAGCTCGCTGGGAGACCAGGGATACTGGGAGATACCAGTGGAGACAGTGGGGAAATTAGCAGTTAATTCTTTGAATTATTCAGTGGAAAAAAAACCAGACTAGTTATTTATCTAGGAAAGCCAAAATATTATTGTAAAGATGGAATTAGGCTAGAGGAATATGGCAGTTTGTTTTATGTGTAATTGTAGCCAGGGAACTGCCCATGGCTGGGACTTCTCCTGTTGGGCTTCAAACTGTTAGAACAGAATTTGTCCCTTTATTTCCTATATTCACCCATGAATTCTGTTCATGGTAAGTCCTACCATCTCCTTGTAATGTACAACATACTCTTAATAAATGTCCCCTTTTATGCCAGGTGTTTGGAGCCACACGGGCCGTGTGAGGCAGGCAGGCAGAATAGCACAGACACTTTGCAATTTAATTAAGAAAAAGAATCTCTCTTGGATATAAGCCCTCTAAACAGTTTATGAGGAATCATGTAATCTCACACAATCCAGAAGGAATTAAATACCAGGCATTATGTATTTAAGGCTATTTGTCCTAGATTTTTATAGAAAAAGAGCTTAATTTTAAGGATTTCCCATTAAAATTCTTTCTGAATTTCTCTCCAAGTGATCAGAGGTGAAAAGACTGAGCCGTATTAGTGGTGGTTCCTCCAGCCCACCAGCACATGATGGAGGATGCTGGATGGGCTGGTTGGTGTCAGAGCCCCCCGAGCCCACCCTGACCCCCGTATAGCTCCATAACAACCTGAGCACGTACAATTGGAAACCCCCACACAATTACAATCCTTTATTTTCATGTAATATAAGCCATTTAGACCTTAACTTCTCGTTCTGCATCCAATGTTCCTCCGACCTGTTCCTGCAATAGGGCGTACGCGCGCTGCAGAGCCTGGTACTCCATGGTCAGCTGCCGGAACCGCAGCTCCGTCTCCTCCTTGGCCATGCCCTGGAAGGCAGAACAAACACACATTGCCCCGGGTGCTCTTCTTCTGCAATGAAAGTAAAAAGTACTACAAGAGTGGATGACGTTTCCTTTCTCAAAAAATTGCTCAAATTATTACTTTCAAAATGCAATTTGAGAAGCACAGTACTAAAGATGTTGTTTATGTGCTCCCAGACTACTTCTCTTTTGTCCTGCAAACATCTCTTGCAAGAAAATGCAATACAGAAAAAAAATTAAGTTCCCCCCACCCTTGGAAAGCTAGAAACTTGCCATCCATAGACCATACTAACGACCGAATCGCCCTTTATTACTGTAACAGGCAAAGTCATCACATTTAACGGTGAAAATACAACTTTCCTGAAACAACAAAAGACCTCCAATCTGGAGAATAAGCCAAGCCTGACAGTCCCACTCAATTATTAAAACACTAATCTAGAGTTAATACTTGTAGAAATGGTGACATCGACATGAAAAGAGCCCTTCATCTTCTTGACTCTCCTTACAACACCCAGCACTGAGTGCTTTCATGTCAGGTTGACCGGAATATTTCACTCGACATGAAATGAAACTACACTGCTGGCTGCACGCGTCAGGGACAAGCATGTCAGCACAGGAATGAAAAATAAATAGGCTCATACATATAAGAATACACTCAGGTTTCCTGCAGCACAGCACACACCTGGTAACCACTCATGTATCTTTTATGATGGAGACAGGAATTCTTTAGGTCCCCTTTTAACAGAACTAATTACGACCCAAGAAGCAGGTGAAATGGCAGATGAACAATCGCAGCCATCATACTGCAAAAAGGCTGCAAGTCATTATGAGGAATTTTTTGTTCCTGACAAGATTCTTGTTAAACCCAGAAACACGTAACAGTATAGAGATCTGACACACACTGGGGAATGTGTTTGTAGGGAAGCCCTGCAAACCACCAGGGATAATCCCTCTCATTGGCATTACCAGCTGCCTGTGGGCACTCGGAGCCTCCCGAAAAGTCACGGCCTTAATATCCCAGGGAGGAACCAGCCTTCCCCTGGAGACTGGGTCTTTGTGATTGCTTCCTTCTCCTTCCACAAACACAAACCTTGTCGTTGAGGCTGCGCCCTGTGCCAAGGTCAAAGTGACAAACAGAAGGACCCGAACCACCTACACATGCACAAACCTGCAGGAGATCTGGGTGTGAACAGATCTTCCCAGGGCTGTCCAGCTTCTCAGTCTTTTTAGACCTCTGACCTCTAAACACATTATAAATCTAACATTCTCAGCATACAATATTTCCAGCTTGGCTAAAAGTTGTGAAAATACTGAAGACTTGAGATCCAGAGATATTAGCCATCATACACAGTATTAAACTTAACACCAATTTTTAATTTTCTGGTCAGAGGTGACAGATAAATGATATAACAGACCAGGAATTTCATTAAACATTAGAAGTGAGGTTTCAAGATAAAATAAGACATATTTTTGATGAATACCTCTTCCAAGTCATCTTCAGGAGTGCAAGGGGTTTGATCTGTCCGGTCAGTTTGATACGAGATAGAGGAACCATCGGACTCCAGGGAAGCTTCTTCATCGTAGCCAAAAAACGTCTCCACAACCGGCTTCTGGCAGAGAGAAGGGGTGAGAAGCGCAGCCCCGCGGGGTGGCACCGCTGCCATCGCCTGCCCCACGGCCTCGGGGACAGCCGTGGCTTTGGACACGCAGCTACACCCTGCACCTTCATGGGATTTGAACATACATGCCTTCGGAGGAACCTCAGTTCCAGATTTTTGGTAATTCTCCCTCTCGCTGCTGTTTGAAACACCAGCCAGTTCTTTACACACATTCAGTGCAGCTTTTGCACCCCATGACAGCGCTCTAACGACAGCTAAACCCATCCAAATCTCTGCAGTCCCTGTTTGCTGCGGGCTGTCACAGTGTGCCACCTCCAAGCCCTGCCTTTTTTAATGTATTTCCCTCCCAATGTCCCCAGCTGAGGCCGAGCACCCTTTGTGCTCCTTTGGGTGCTCATCGTGGTGGGAGGTGGGAGCTGGGTGTGGAAATGCCTTTGTTAATCCATCGCCATCACCACGATGTCCCTCCTGTCACCACCACAACTGCCACAGCAAAAGTCAGATTTGCAAGAAATATTCTCCTTGAAAATTTGAAGTTAATCACCACGGCAATGTTTTCAGTCTGAAGAAATCCATTTTTCCACTCAAATCTGCTTTGTGTTTAAAAGAATGAGGGTAGTGCTGGTCAAAAGAAGATTTACTGTTAAATGCTTGAAAGTCAAAGACGACATTTCAAACACAGTTTTAAAGATATTTGTAATTGTTGATCTACAAAAAACACTTCCAGATTTTGATTATTTTTTAGTATTTATCAGCAGTTAATAACTTTTGAAGGAGACAAAACACAGCTCTCCTTCAAAGGCCTGGTTGCCGTTTGCAGGATGACAGGAGTTAAGGAGTTATCTCACTTTGACCGCAATTCGTTATTTATTGATTCATTAGCTCCATCAGTGCCTTAACTCTTCACACGTAGAGCACAGCTTACTCTTAGGACCCTGACATTATACCTTGCGATGTCATTACAATGTTAATATAAATATTAACATCCTGCCAAGTATTCATTAACTAACATTTTCTTTTTCCCTGAGCTCTAACCATTGCTGCTTGTAACCAGCAATTTTCGCATGTTACTAAACTCCATAATGAATTATTTACAACCTACATATGTTTTCAGGCAGTGCCATTAAAAGATCATTTTGAGATGTGTTAATTCATAAAATCTGTCTCATCGTAAGACAATCACTGCACTGCACTCCCCCGGGACCGTTGGGGTAAGTGCAGAGCAGGAATGCTCGATGCAAATGGCTCCCCAGCAGGGTCTTTCCTGACTATCCCCATAGAGGCTGTGAATGTCCTGCCACTACACAACCCATGTTTAAGATCAGGACCCTTTTGCAGACCCTGGAGGGGAAGGTTTCCCCACACGTGGCTCTGAGAGGCTCGGAGCTCCCCGGGACGGCAGCACGCCCCGCAGCGTGTCATGGTACAAGCTGCTGCTATTACCTTAGGAATTCTGGTCATCTTTTTCCTTTGCTTCCTATACCTTAGGAGCTTATCACGTTCCTGAAAGAAGGAGATACAGACGTTAGTTGGTCTCAGAGAGCTGTGATTTACAGTTGCTGTGTCAGCACTAGCAGTCACTGGGCAAGCAAGAAATGGTAATGCAGTGTCGGGCACTGCCTCGAAATGCAATAGCCAAGCTTTCATCTGCCAAATGGTAGTTCTACCCCAACATCTTCCAGGTTTGCCATATACAAGTAGAAATTGTTCTTTGTATTCATGAAAGCCAAAATAGCAAAAGAAATATGGTTATAACCAGTACAACAGCTTCAGTGTCATTTCAGAGCTGCTCCATGAGCAATTGCGCTCCACTGCGCCTTCCAGGGCTCCTCCCTGTCCAGGATTCCAGAGAGTAACGTTCCAAAGGGAACTACAGGAACTAAAGTTCTAAAGGAACCCTATAATTTTTCATTTTAACCATTCTGTAAAAGAATGCGATGACATTATGGGAAATTGACAATGTGTCACTACCATCAGCCCGATGGCAAATCCCAGCAGCAGCGACAGAAGAAAATCAGAGGCTGGTTTTGCTCGGCAGCACAAGCTTTGCTGCACACTGGCCATGAGGAACTGAGCACTGACAAAGCACTACTCATTTTATCAGTATGTATTAGTGGCTTAACTTCACAGAATTTTTACTGGTAATAGCAAAGGGATGGCAGTGGCAAGGGCAGTGACTGAGAACATGCCAGTGTGGGTGAGACAAAGCTACTGATAATCAGACTCTGAAAAAAATGCAATTCCAGCATGGCAGAGCTGTCCTGGAGATGGGGACACTTGCTACTGGCCATCAGGACAGGGTGACCACGCTGACCTTTGCCTCCGAGGTCATCCCAGTGGTGAAAAAACGGCTTTCCTCTCACCAGAGCTTTCCTTTCCACTATCACTACACTTTTCTCCAGTGAACAACTTCTGCTGATACAGCCTTTGGCAACGTCTACGCTGAGAGAAACACCCTGTAAGCTTGCTGCCTGAATGGAGGGGTAGGTGACAATAAATATTATTATACCCTGCGTGCTTTTCATCAACAGCAGTTTAAATCTTTCAAAGATGAGGAACAAGTTAATTTCATGCTTACCATGACACTCTTCACATAGCCAGCAGTTTCCAGGGTCTAATAAAAAAGAATGAAATAATGTCAGTAACTGTATAGATACTTTTTAAAAAAAGGTTATTTTCTTGAGGAGCATTCTGATTTCAGTATTTGCTCTTTCCAAAGACCGAGAACACAACATTGCAGATCCCCCCCCTTACACACGGCCACCGTGAGCCCTGTGCTGTCTCCAGCTAATGGAGCTCTGGCATTTTCTCTGGCAGGGGCAGGATCTCTACTGGAGCTGCTGCAACGCTTCTGGCGTGCAGGTATGACATAGATGGAGAGGATTGTTCCAAATACTACGCCACAGATAGCTTATATTCATTTCAATGAGTAGCAATCACAGAAATGCCTGCCAGGTTTCAGTGATGCAAACGATGCCCGTTAGACCCCAGAACCCCGAGCACCCCTTGCTTCACCTTCCTGCTCTGCTGCTGCGGCCTCAGCCGACCTCTGGTGTGAGCAGCGGGATCACATTTACCTTGGAGAGTTCATCAATGATGTTTTGCTGTTCAATGACCTGTAGTCTCAGGAAATCGACTTCTCTTTCTTCCTGGCTGTGGTCAAGGTCGTTTAAAGAGCTCGGTCTCCTTATCGTTCCAGCTCTTTGCCTCTAAAAACCCAAGCACAGGGCAGAGAGGAACGATCAGCAGGAGGGTGTGTAACCCTTCCCTTCACAGCACGACTCTAATGGCTCTTCTGGCAGCTGCCCCCGTTTCTGGGCAATACAACTAGACCCTGAGCACACAGGGTGCTCCTGCTCCTCAGGGTGCTGCGTGAAGCTCGTGGCCACCAGGGAGGACAGTAGGCACGTGGGGCCACCATACCAAAGAGATGGGCTAGCAGCAGCCCAGCTGCATCTGCTCTTTAAAGCTGCCAAGAGCTAATTGAGGGCAGAGAAGGGAACAGGAGAGCTGGGACCAGTGTCCCTTCTCTCCGGGTTCCTCTCATTTGCTTTGATCTGCAGCAGAGCTGGAGCTGCAGCACCCACAGGGGTGGCCTCAGCTCTCCAACATCCCTGCAATGCCACGGCGTTTAGCAAATTGCCCACTGACAACATTCAACTGAAAAGAAGGGAAAAAAGATTGAAAAAAAAAAAAAGGTCTTCTTCAGAACTATTTGTTTTTAAATCTAAACCAAAACATTTTATATAAAACAAACCCACAAACCACCCAGTAGCGCACCACAGAACATCTCAGTGAGCACCCGAAAGGGAAAAGTTTCCTATCAAACTTGCTAGTTTGGGATGATGTCTGACTTCTTAATTAGCACCAAATCACATGTTCTCCCTGCAAGCACACACACACTTACCATCGCTATGTTTTCTTGCGTTACAAACTTTAATTTATTCTCCATTCGACGTAAGGCATGTGACAACTCTTCATTCTTTCTACTAAGGCGCTTGTTTTTGTCCAAAATGGGCTTATACTGACTTTCAGCTTCTCTGAGACGTTTTAACTGAAAGATAAAGAGAGAATTAACACCTCCAGAGCTGTTTTTTTTATCAAACATACTAATTGTTTTATTTAACTACCACACTAGCAGTGTTTTCTCCTTATGCAAAGTGGAGTTGATCAAAAACCCTTGGTATTTTCTATTGGGAAGCATATCGCTCCTCCTTCATGAGGTATTCTGTCTGTGCAACAAGCATATTACGTGGGGAATGCATTTATTTTGAAAAACAGAATCATAGAATAGAATCATAGAAGTGTCTGGGTTGGAAGAGACCTTTAAGATCATCTAGTCCAACCATCAACCTCACTCTGATAAAAACCATCACTAAACCATGGCTCTAAGCACTATGTCAACCTGTCTGTTTTTTTTAAATCCCTCCAGGGATGGTGCCCCAACCACTTCCCCAGGCAGCCCATTCCAATGTGCAATAACCCTTTCAGTGTACAAATTGTTCCTAATCTCCAATCTGAACCTGTCCTGGCACAACTTGAGGCCATTTCCTCTTGTCCCATCGCCTGTGACTTGGGACAAGAGATCGACTCCCGCCTCTCTACAACCTCCAAATAAATAAAAATTATTCCAGCTAATGCCATCTTAAAAAAATCATTGTTATCTAAGCAAAAGATGAGTGTAATGTGGCAAATGACCAAATAGGGAGTGTAAGGAGGAGGCATCCCCTCCTGCAATGATTTCAAACTGTCCCAGGGGCTCAGGCACGGCCAGGGCAGCGGTGCCCGCAGCACTCACCAGCTCGTTCCTCTCCTCCGACAGCAGCGCGTTCCGGTCCTCCAGCTTCCTGATGATGGCACTCAGCTCGGCGATTTTCAGTTGGAAACGACGGGCATCCTTTTCATCCAACTGCTGTTCCTAAAACAAAGATCAACTGCAAATAACTGTTCATAAGTGCACAGGCAATATCAGTATTTTTCAAAGCTCAAACTTTTTCTCATCCCAGATCCAAACATTTCAAAAAAATGATGTGGCAGAGCGTAACCCGTGTCCCCTAACGGAGCACGGAAAGCTGCAGGATGAGCCCAACAGGAAGTCGGGAGTGGCAATGTAACAAAGTATGCAAATGCAGAAGTATGTATATGCAAATACAGTCACAAATGGCAAACTTGAAAATAGAAAGGAAATTATCAAAAATCAAGGCCATGTTCCCAAGGTATGCCACTGTTGAACTGAGTGCTTCAGACACACCACCCACTCTGAGGACTTCGTTAGAAGAAAGTGATATTAAAGTACTGAAGTACAAATGGGGAAAATCCATGCAATTCTACCATTGCATAAGCTCTTCTTCCATAAAGCTGCGGCCCTTATTGGGCTCTAAAGGGTCACTCATGAAGGGGTAGCACTTTATCAGAGTGAAAATGCTTAAATCAAATTATAAACGAGTAGAAATATAGGTAGACGTGTCCCCGTTCAGAATCAGAGAGCAGTTACATCTATTTCCAAACGTGACAGACTTTCCCCCTCTCTAGGACGTGTTCTGCTCCTTGGCAGGGGCTGAGCACGAATGGGAGCAGGAGCTGGTGCTGGGGGCACTCGGGAGCTCGAGGTTCCTCATTCAACAGGTGCAGGAGAGGCTCGGGACAGAATAAAAGAGACTGGTTTGCTCATGTACAAGGATTTACGTTTCTACTGAGAAAATTAAGGCTGTTGCAAAAGAAATCTTGATGAGAATCAGCAATGAAGAAAATTTGCATACGTCAGATATAGGAGGTCAGTTAACTGAGGGGGTTTTAATATTAGCAAATGAAGGCAAAGGCAGAAAGGCCACAGTTACATTAGACAAGGCATTGTGAGAGGGTGACTACGGTTTAATATTCTGAATATGGTGTTGCAGATGAGAACTGGGAGAGAACAGGTTACAGCAGAGTTTAATTCCCTGTCTGTCCCGCTGGAAGCGAGAGCTCCGAGCAGCACCGGGACCCCAGCAGGGACCCAGGGACATCCCGGGATCCAGCCCCCCTTCCCTCTGTCAACTGACCTTCCACATCTGCCCGCAAACCCCATCGTCAGCAGCCCCAGCAGCCAGCACACATACATCACTTGGTTAGAAATGCATTTGCATCATTTGTTGGCAAGATCGTGTCAAACGGTCAAATTAAGGCAGGTGGGAGGAGCAGGGGAGGGTGAGGAGAAGGGAGAGAAAAGGAACAGAAAAACTCCACCCTGTGAATGGAACCAACCAAACCAACCGGGGAACACAAGGACAAAGGAGCAAAAGCTCTCCCATAACAAGGCTCGAGTCTAAACCTCCAGGGTCTGGGTAAGGAACGAGAGCACGAGTCGGTGCCTGGGGTGTCCCCGGCTCGGCTATGGGAAAGCTGTTGCTCGAGGGGGCACTCATCAAGATTCTGTCACTTTGTGCCGTTTGGTCACTGCTCGTTGGTGTAGGCAAAACCAGGTGAAAGTGCTTACGGGGCTTCCCGAATGATCTGAGGCGTCTCCTGCACCACTTGCATAAGGAAGTTCCCGCTTGGGGCTGCTCAGATGCCGATCGGCCTCTTTGATCTGGGAAAGTTGTTCATCTAAAGCCTCCTTTTGGAGCTGCAGTCTCTGAGCATGCCCGGCTTGGACCCCTAACTCTCTCTCCAGCACGTAGACTGCTCTGTCCTTAAACTTAATCTCCTCCATCTACAAGGAGAACAGAACACAATCACACAGGCAGGCAGCGGCTTGACAACAACACAGCAGGGTACAGCAGGGTACAGCCCGGCGCGGCAGAGACCCTCCACGAGGAGAAGACAGCCACAAACATTTCACCAGGAACACGTGAGCTCAGGCGCTTCACCAGCCCAGGGGCATCACCCTTCTCCTGGGGCTGCCCAGAACAGGACCTCTCTTCTCAGCAGGAATTTTATTCATTAAAAGGATTGGGAAATAGCCTGTATTCTTAGTGCCAGTTCAGAATATCTTAAAAAAGAATTAAAACCTAACATTCATATCACAATTTGGATTAGTTCGCTCAAATGTTTTAATGATTTTGCAGCGTTTTGCTTGGACATCACCTTCTGAAAATTTGGATTCATAATTTTAAAAGAAAAATATTAAACCCTCTAATTTTCAAAATATAGAAGGATTATGATTTTTTTAAATTCTTTTTCCAAAAGTGTCCCGTGTGAGCAATTTGTTTAATTATCCCCTTTCCATGAAAGGTTTTGCTTATGCAATAATAAACATTATGCAAAATCATTAAGTGCTTAATTGACAAATGTCCAGCTGTCTCTAATTCCCTTCTTTCCCGTTTGCCCGCGCTGGGCTCAGAGCAGCCTGCTCACCCCCCCTGGGTCGGGCACAGCACATTGCCAGGTGCTCCAGGGATGTTTTCTGAGGGAGAACGCACTCGGACCGTTTCCCAACGCCAACGTGGAACTAAAGGCTCCCTCTCCCTCTCCGCGGATCCCTGGGATGCTGCCCTGGGAGTGTGCGGGGCCCGAGGGGCGGCTCGTGCTGCTGGGGCCGTGGCTTGTGCCCGGATCAGCCCCTGGCCAGCCCGTGCCCTGCCTGTTAACCAAAAATGACTGAGCACAGCCCAAAATCTCCCTCTGTGCCTGCGGTGATGTACAGCGCTGCAACAGCATCTCAGGCTCTTCCCAGCTGGATTGCATTATACATTATACATGAATATAAAGAATTAATTACACTCACATGGCACAGTGCTTACAGATAACGAGCTACAGCAAGAAAGAAATCATATACATGTCTGTTGATCTGGTTTCAGACACCATAAATGCACAAGGTTTTTGTCATAAGTTTTCTAGACTTTACACATGTGATTTAAATGGTCAGTTTTTTAAATGTGGTCTGCTTGAAATAGGGAGATTTTGCCTCACGAGAGCAGCGTTTGATACTCATATCTTTGTCTGTAAACCTGGAAAAAAATGACATCGTGAATTAACAGATCACTCAAAGAACTTTGTTTCCAACAACTGCAGAAATGCCCAGGCAGGGAAAAAGCAAGTTTCCACACACCCAGCAGGGGTTCTGCCCCACGGGAAACTGCCTCCATCGGGGCGTTTGGGTGGAGGGGCTGATCGCAGCTCGCAGTGGTGAAATAAATCCCATGGGAGGGAACACGGGGGGTTGGGGCACGATGTCCCTCCCCTGGACAGCGCGGGGCTGTGTCCGGACCCCGGCCAGGAGAGGTGTGTGTCACCCATCGCCCCCCTCCCCGGGAAGCTCCATGGTCCAGCGCCAGCCGTAGGCGAGAGCCACGGTGCTCCCCGGGGTCTGCGGTGCCCGGGGGCCTCCTGCCCTTTGGCTGCTGCAGGAACTGAGCTACAGACCCCGACAGACCCCGCATCGTCCCCGGGGGGACAGGCTTTGCTGAAAGACGAGGTGGGACAACTCAGAAATACCTGCGTGGAAACTGGGTTGCAAGTTATGCAAAATTTAGATTATTTTAGCAAAGAAAGACCCCCTTTAAAAGAAAGACCCCTTTAAAAGGGGTCCCAACAGTTTCCATTAAGGTGATGGTCTCCTAACTTTGAATGAAACAAAGAGATGCCCCTGAGGTCCTTCTGCTAGATACCTCATCAGGTAGAAATCTAAATGGATGCATGAATGAAAAGGTAACACATCACCAAATGATGATTTGTTTAAAATAAGCAGAATATTGGCCAGTTGATCCCTACGTATATGAATACAAAACCATGGCACAACGTAGGCAACACTTGGAAATAGGAGGAACAAAGAAACTGGAGAAAATACAAAAGATTTCACAATATTTCACTTAATGGTTTGTTTTCCATAAAAAATGCTAAACATAATCTTCATAAACAACTAAGGAAACATCAATATTCACATTTCTCTTTATAGGATTAAATTCACATTCATGAAATATGTATAACAGTTTGACATTTGCAGCTGGTTATTAAATAGCGACATTACAGACAGTACAAACCGAAGGAAGCATTTCCCCCAGAACTCTTATTTCGCCCATTATTTCCTACCATTAGTAACGCTCCGAAAAGAAAAAGAGAAGAAAGAGCGGGTAACTCACCGGCGGTGGTGCCCGTCCCCACGTGCACACCCCAGCAGGCTGCGGCTGCTCCCATGGCGGGGAGGGCGCGGGACGGGGGACGCCTCCTCCCACCCCACACCACGCGTGTGACGGGGCGTCACGTGTGTGACGGGGTGTCACGCGTGTGACGGGGCGTCACGCCTGGCAGCCACCACCCGCCCCCCACAGGGACCTTCCCTTTCCCCCCCAGCCGCCTGCCTCCGTGCAGGATGAATATTTATGGGGGAGCACTAATTAATAACCAGCCCGTGAGCCCAGCTGATGCCAATTATGCAAACATAATCCCCTGCAAAGTTAAATTTGTTAATCCCTACTTGCACTGCCCAGTGCGATGCGCAGCACGGTCTGACGTGCAGCCGGTATTAAGCCATTATGATTTTTTAAAAATATATTATTCCCATCCGATTGTAAACCCAACGCAGAGGTTGGGAAATTTCTCCTTGTGATGTCCCAGAAACGCACAGATGCCATCGGGAGCACGGCCCCACGCCCCAGAGATCTGCCTTTGAAGCCACCAGTGCGTGGCGGATAAAAGCCAGACATTCCTGGACTCTTAAGACAGAAAGGAACAACTCAGAACTGGGGGGTTTATTGACCCTCCGAAATGTAGGAGCAATGTTGTATAGCTTAACAAAATCCTTCAGCAGCCCAGGCCAAGTTGGAATAAATACTGTTGTAAAATGAGGTTCAAAGCACAAATGATGAAAAAAATCCACATTTGCAAGACAGAATTATTCACCTTGAATAACGTGTCTACCTTTCAGTATAGGATGACTGCTGAGATACCTTTATAATACCAAATATGGCAATTTTTCATAGCATAAGGGAATAAAAAAGAGAAGATAAAGACTAAATCAATCACCAATAAAATTAATATTTAAAAAGTCAGCTTCCTACACCTCTCATCTGATACCGCCCTTTACGGCAGACATCACCACTGATTTCCCACTGCCTGGCAGAGGCGTCTCGGGGACGTGCCTGCGCACAGGGCGCGGGGTGACACCGAGAAGAGCGAGCTCCCCTTTGCCTGCGGTGCTGCCTCACCCCACGGAAACCACGAGGGTCTGGGTGTGCAATGGCCTCACCTGAGGCGCCAGGGCAGGTTCCTAAACCTGTGGGCAGTCACCATCAACTAAAGTTTATCTTAAATTGAAAAGAAACACTTTCCAGTCTCTGACAAATCTCATTTCTTCAGTTTTTCTGGTTTTTTAGTCCTCTCACAAACAAGATGTGCAGAAGGGAGGCTGCACTGCAGTTCAGCACTTCTCCTTCCCACCAACCTACACCGCAGTCAAATTGCTGTGCTCTTTGCCACGTTGAGCTTCAGGCCCCACTGAGCAAAGCTGGAGGCCAGTTGGTCCCAGGGAGCTCTCCTGAGGGAAGGGCTGTTTTCCCTGGAGCGCACACCCTACCACGGGCTGGGCTGTTACCAGTTAAGACCTTACAAATGCAATTAAATACATTCATCTAGTATTTTAAGCTGTTCTAAACCGAACAAATTAGAATTTAAAAAAAGTTTACTAAAATTAGAAATTCTCTAGAAAGGAGGTCGTTGCCATACTTGTTGCCATCTGCGAGGGGCTTCCATCCCTTGCATTCCCAATTCCCCAGCCTTGGAGGCAGCTGAGCGGGGTTGGTTGTGCTTCTCTGGAGCACGTCACGCTCAGACTTTACAGACACACACAGCACGAGCCATATGGGCAACACAAAACGCGAGGCCAGAATAATTTGAACATACACTTTTGCAAAGCACGTTGTTTCCTTTGCCATGCTGTCCCCAGAACTGAACGTGGCTCAGCCCTGCGCTGTGGGACTCGTCCCAAGCCACGGCACCCACAGGTGATGGCTGCCCTGGCTCCTGAAAACAACTAGAATAAATAGCTAGAATTTCTATTTGGTAAATACTAGACAGGAACTGTTTCTAAAGAGAGATTACATCCTGTTAGGAAGCCTCGGGGTGCCTGCAGGGCACAACTACCAAATCCCCACCTGGAGCCGGTGTGCTGCCTAGGCAGTGGCACCAACACACGGGCTGGCACCAGCACACAAGCTGGGCAGGAGCCACCACACAGGTGTGTTTGTTTGACCACAATTATGTTTTGGACTCAGTTTTGCTGCTGGAGAGGAGTAGGGCACACAGGCAGAGCTGGTTTGAGAGGCCGCAGGGCAGCTGTACCATCACCAGGTCTCTTTTGGAAGAGGGTGAAAATGCAGGGATTCCCTCAGGAACCTGGTGACAACGTTCAGTCATGGGCACTGGGTCTGGGTGTGATAATTTAACTTCATTCAAAGTTGTAGTGAGTCAGCAAGACAGGAGGGCTCACAGCAGAGCTCCTTTGAAAGCCTGAGCGTTTATACCCTGCATATCCCTGGCAAAATGTGACAGAAGAGGAGGATGCTGAAGAGCAAAATAAACTCCAATTTGCTGGAAGGAAATGTGATGGCTGTGCACCTCCTTTTCACATAATGCTGTACCTTCCTACCACAGCCAGGACTTTAAAGGCCATCTAACATTTTTCCAACGGTCTGAAGTGAGACATCAACAAATGTGCTCCCATCTGTCCAATACTGGAAAAAACCCTAGATTTAATTTGAAAGGAGAATAATGGATTATGCTAACTCACCCTTTCAAAAGACTCTTTGTATGACTATGTATGGAAGTATTTTCCATAAGATAAGCCTGCGCAGATATACTCGACTTGGAAATGAAAACCTGTACCTATCAGAGATAAATAACTTCAAAAATTATTCTATGTTACAGGACTTCACATCATTGCAAAGCTAACCATCAATGAGTGTAACTGCTCCTTCTCTATTCTCTTATTTTTTCTAGCCGCGAAATAATAATTTGCTCAAAGATTACTTCCCCCCTTGATTAAAATGACTAAATAATGCATTGGACATGAATCACAGAGCTTCCACAGCCCTGATGGGGAGCCATTAGCAGCTGAGGGCTGGCTGTGCCACGGCCGGCACGGGGAGGTGCAGCCCCAGGGCTCTCGGACAGACGGACACTCACGTTGGGCCAGTCTGTGTCTGTGTCTCCCTGCAGCCAGCGAGGCTCAGTCACTGTACGCTCTGGGTGGCCCCTGTCTTAAAAGGGGAAAAAAACCCACTGGTTTTCATTAATACTGTGTTTCGAGAATTGCCTCGTTTTCCTAGAGAGGAGCTTTTATCCTACAGTGGGGCAGGCACCAGCCTCCCCCCCCCGAAATGGCAGAGCCCCCCCGCAAGGTACCAGGAGCCAACAGCTCCCCCAAAATCAATGATGGGGAGTCAGTGGGGCTGAGAGCGCTTCAAGTCAGGCAGGAAGCACTCAGGGCTTGGTAAAACCATGGCAGCATGGAATTTAATTAGTACAGTTAGATAATCTGATTCTGTCAAGCAGGAATTTAAAAAGTTTGATTTTCAAAGGCAATTTAAAAAACGTAACATCAAACCGCTCTATTCCTTATAACTAAGAACATATTTATTTTATAGCTTCTACATTAGAGGCCATTAGCGTGGACTTTTCGTGTAATGCAGCAAGTTTAGTCAGGATGGCCATTAGCCTCCCCTTCACTCGGCTGCATTAAATCAATGCATCTAATAACGTGTGTTTAGAGAGGAAAGTACTTACACTGCAGGATATTGAACCGTATCAATAGATCAGTTGGTTATAAATTATTTTAATATCCTCTTCATAAAAATAAAATAATCTACGAGGAGAAAAAAACAACTTCACAGCCTAAAGTCTGAGAGAAGGGCGGGTGAATCAGGGGCAGGTGACGTTCCCCTGCCGGATGGAGCTGTGTCAGTGGCCCTCAGTCACCCCGGGTCGTTAGGACACTGACGATGCGGTACCAGCCCCGCGTGGGCAGGTCCTGCAGGGCCCTCACCAGGACATGGCCACACTGCTGTGCTTCGCCTTGGGCTGCTCTGCAACCCCAGTGGGCAGTTTTAGATATTTTTTTTAGCATTTGGTTAATAATCAAGGGATAATGACTTAGAAGGAACCTGGATGAGTTTATACTGAGACACTGGATGCTATAAAAAAGCACGGCATACACAAAAAGATGGTGACTTCAAATAAATACTGAGACAAAACCTGAAACACCCATCATGAAAGCGAGGGTGTTACTTTTGTCCCCATGTCCATGGGCAAGGCAGTGACAGTGCTGGGACCCATCCTGCCCTCACACGCTGTGTGAATGGTGAGGCAAGTGGCTGAGATGGCAGCAGAGAAAACGTCACCCTAAGGCCCAGAAAGCTCTGGTGCTGCCAGGCTGTCGTGCAAAGACTTCCCTCTCGGAGGGAGCTCCCTCCCGCAGGGAGTTCTCCCCTTTTCCAAGCAACACGATCCCATTTAATCTCTCCAACGAGTTCCCAAAGCCGCTGGAGGAATGCTCCGAAGCCATAAGCTATTGCCTTTGAGACTCTGGCTGCTGCAGCTGAGACTCAGATGGTTCCAGTAGGTGATGGAAGGCCCATCACAAAGACCCAGTGAGGACCAGGTGAGTGATGGTGGGTGAGAAAGCCCAGGGACCTCCTGAGGCCAGGGACCTGCTGAGCCACTGGTCCTGGCCACCAGAGGAGCAGCAGCAGTGCCTGCCCTGGGGAAAGCCACCATGGAGAGGAACTCCTTTCTCATTCCCTCACAGAAGGAAGGGGTCATTGCCTACAAGGTGTGGGACTCACCATGGGATGCAGAAGAGCGAGCATTTGGGGATCGTGTAAAGCTCATTATGGGATGTTTACAGGGACTAGCAAAAGCAGGGGAAGGGAGGGACCAAGGTGGATCAACAAGGAACAAATGCCAGGGAAACAGGCAAGGGATGAGAAACATAACCGTTTCATAGAATTCCCTACCCAGTTAGTAACCAAGGCCTCTTTCCAACATCTGAAATGTGAACAGTATTACTAGGCACGGACACAGATAAAAAAGTTCCTTACAAAACATCCTATTAATTTGTAAAAAACATTTTGCCATCTCTTCTGGTAAAGGTAAAGCAGATTTGAAGCAAGCTCCAGAAGTCTGAAAGCCCCTCTTTATCCCTTCATCCCAGTCCAGCACTGAACTTTCACTCACTTACTATCAATAACATAAGTGTTAGTAAGAACATAGATGCAGACAGCGACACGTACCAGTCTACGAATTTCTCTCTCACACTCCCTCTTAATTCTGTTGATTTCCTCTTGATGCAGGTGGTACACACTCCTGATCTCTGCTGCTTTGATTTTATCAGCTTGGATGACCATAGTCAAAGCCTCTTCCACTTGTTTCTTTGCCCCCTTCAGCTCTGAAATTTCTTGCTGCATTTTTATTTTCTCAACCTCAAACCCTTTCTTGGCCTCCTCCTTCGCCTCCGTGAGCAGCACCGTTTTCACCTTGTCAGGAGCCCCATCCCGTACAGCATTGAGAAGGGTCTGCAGTCTCTGGATTTCATTATCTTTAATTTTTATTACTCTAAGTAGTTCAGCTTCGTGCTGTCTCAAAAGTGCTTCTCGAACAGCTTGGAGCTCCTTCATTTTCTCCTCATGAAGTTTGACTTTGAGCTCTGTTACCACCACTGTACTTTTATGCTGTTCGTGCTCTTTGATCTGCTTAACTTCCTGATTTTTCTCTCTTTCCAACTTGCTGACCTACAAGGAAAATAATAAAATAATAAACAAGAAGCCCGAAAAATTTGTACAAAAGACCTTTCTTATACTGGAAACTATCATAAGCAGAAATATCTGCACATTTAGAAAAAGAAAAACCAAAATGTATCATGAAAATTTTGCAAATTATTGGTATTGAGGATGAAAGTCCAAGCACCAATGCTGAATTTAGCATCAAATTCTATTTTTATAATTAAATAATAATCTCTTACAATCTTGTGGACTCTCTGATTTGCCCAATTCAGTGCCCTAAAAAGCATGAATTAACACAATATAAATAAGTACCACAAATCTATGCAAGAAGCACACCACCCAGGTGAACCGACCATCCATAACCAAACAGTCCAGGAGGTGCACGTCAGAAACAGGCTGAGGGGTGTGCAATCGGGACTAGAAACAGCCTAATGGTTAAGAAAATGCACATGTAGGAACCAGCCAGTGACTTGTGGAGTGCGTCTGAGCCTTACTTGGCTTTTCAGCTGGGCACCTGCAGAGCTCTCACACCACGTCCCCAAAAGAAGAGGTGAGAAATCAGAGGCTGACCATTGCTCCAGCACACAGATCCCAACTGCAGGACACGAGCAGCTCTGTGAAGCCACTGCGAAGCCCCACACAATTGCATTTTATCAGATGCTTTTTAAGCAATGAATTATGCATTACAGATAACTAAATATATCTGACCACAGAAGGGTCAAATGACACTTCAATTTAAAACCATAGCATACACTCAAAAAAAGCCACGATGAGAAGTGGCTGGGGAGGACAGGGAGAAGGAAAACAGGGTCCTCAGTCTTAAAACTGCAAATGCTGCTTCACAGCAAAAGGATAAACACATGTTCTATTTTTATATATATATACACACTCCCCCTTAGAAGCTTCCTTAAAAATTGGATTAATAGTCTACAATGCCTAATAATGATGCAAATTAATGGAAAAACACAGAATATCATCCTGTTCCTGCATGTAATGCATGTCACTATTAAACTTTGGGGGTTTTTTGGTTCCAGAGCACTATCAGTAGAAACTAATTTGGGGGATTAGGGAAAAGCTAATCAATTTTTCATGCCCTCACTGAGACGTGGGCTGAAGGCTCTGAAAGCTGAGGCTCCAGCTGCATCAGCCGCCGCGCTCCCAAAGGCTCAGGGTGGAACCGTGGCTTCTGAAACTTTGGCAGCCAGAGCAGGAGGCAGGGCTGAGGCCCCTAACCTACAGCTGGGAACTGTAAGCAGCCAGTTTGAGGGATTTTGAGCATAAAATCCAAATGATCCAATTGAAATTAGTGTGAATGTGAAAGAGAAGAATCAGCAAAGAGAATTTCTGAATAACACGAAATTGCATTCAAAACCCTCAATGTAGCCAACCTCATAAATAGGTAAATATTTACTGGGGAAAGCTGTAGCGAAAGAAACAAAGGCCAGGGACAGCTTTCAGCCCACCACTCCGAGTGTGCCATCTGCTTTGGGCAGATGTTTGTCTTTCCAGATCTTTTGCTGGGATTTAGCTCTGCGATTTTTCAACTTCATCCCTCTCTGGCTGTTGGGAATACGCTGGGTCCTGCCCCCCCCTCACCGTTCCCACCCGCGGCCGCGCCGCCAACGCGCCCTCGCTTTCAGGCTCCTTTTGTACCCTACGCATGTTATAAACACATGGAGAACAGTTTAAAAATCTGCAATAAAGGGGTTGCCTCTTGTTTCCCAGGGAAGGCTCCAGGCGCCTGCGCTGTGATGTATTGTGGCAGTGGTGCAGGAGTTAGCTCCGAGTGGGGCAGAGAGCGGTTAGCGTTCAGAAACAACAGACTTTGTTTTAATTAATTGTGGAAGGAAAGGAAGAGATGCACACCTTACTCTTTTCCTGCTGGAGCTCTATCTGGATGTCGGTGAGCTTGGCCCTGAGCTCTTCGTTGGCAGCCTGCAGGGCGGCCAAGGCGTCCGGCCTCTCCCCCCTGGCTCGGCTGCTGCTGCCCTTCTTGGACATGGTGAGGCCGCGCGGCAGCGAGGGGAGCGCTGCCCCAGGGCCTCGTCCCAGTGCTCGCTCGGGCTTCTCCTCCTTCCCGCCGTCCCACTACATTTTCCTACGTGCCTGGAAGGAGGGAAATCACAGACACCCCGTCAGACGCCAGAGGCGGGCGATGCCTCACCCACCAAGAGCAGTCAGACACCAGACGTTTCTAGGGAGCACCTCAGCCCGCTAAAGGGGCTCTTCCCTGGGTTAAGTAACAGCTACGCACAGTGCCAGGGGCAGTAATATATTTTTTTACATCTTTCAAGAGCACAAGAGAGTCTTAAGAAAAGCAATGTTTGGTTTCCTATAAATAGTTTTCAGATATTCATGATGAAAATAGTAAAAGTAACAAAAAAAGTAGAGAAGCAAACAGAGATTACCCAAAGGCAAGAGGAATTTTCTATACAGGACTGTGCAGTGAATCATCAAAACAGCCATTAAGATCTCTATAGCTTTATCTAAGGCTGGTAACAAAGCAGGAGTTTTAGTCACACTGAGAGGTTTTCAGTCAAATTTAAACAAATGAAACCGAGACAAGCAAATTCATTCTGTTAAACGGTGGAGAACTGGGCAATAGTGGACCCAACTTCACAGTATTAATATATGAATATAGTTTGCATTTGAAGCCTACCCACTAACCCCAGCACATTCATAAACTATACAACATACACAATTTATAGTGATAACTTCAGATTTGTCAACAAAACATATAATATTAAGTACAGTACTAAAAGCTACATGCATTTGTCTATTTTTATTTCAACATTCTCCAATACTTTGTCCAAAAATAAACAGCAGCACTCTGGAATGGGTGAGCGGCAATAAAGTCTGCAGAGGCTGTGCCAAATTTAGAACGTTGAATTATCAATGAAACTCTAAGGTTCTTTATAATCAATAAATCCCCACACAAGCTCCTTGAGAACTACCCTGTGCAATTTTTCAAACTGTGGGTATAGACTATGGCTGTGAAAACCCAGTTCATGCCTAATTAAATGAAACAGCAACACACACAAAGAAGGAGTTGCCTCTGTTTCTCTAGACAAAGCTGACCCCACTATCAAAGTTCATTTTAAAACTGTCTATGAAAAAAATCAATGGGAGCACAACCCTGAATGAAACGTCAGGGACCAGTGAACAGGCTGCCACAAGAGAGACACGCGCATGGAACCCCAAATGGGGAAACCCCATCAGCAGGGAGAGGGATCAAACCCACATTCCCAGAACTGGAGGGTCCTACAGACGGTAGCAGAGAGGAGTGAAATCCAGTGCTGTGACGGCTCTGGCTTTCAACAGAGTTCTCAGAGATGACTTGGGGCAACTTCTGACCCCAGGATGAGGACAACGGGGTTTCCTTGCTTTGGAGCAAACAGCAGAACGGATCAGGAATGTTACAACAACATGGGAATGCACAGAATGTAAAGTCTAATAAGAAAATGTTATGCTGGCAAACTTTGACTTGCTTAGATAAAACTACATCCTGCACAGATTATATGTACTTCCCAGTTCAAAAACTTATTTGGGTTCATTTTTAAATTCCAGTCTGAACTAAACCCTTGTTTCAAAGATCTGATTAATTTATACTATAAAAAATACACAAAACCCTCAAATTTAGAAAAATATTTCTAACCTTGTTAATACTGACCTTATTAATGTGGATAACGATCTTTTGGGACGATGACCTTCAATGCATTGGTTTATTCATCCTGACTCATCCTCAAAACCCCAACAGAGCAGCACTTTTCCCTGTCCGAGCACGAGTAACGAGGCTTAACAGTACAGGGCAGCTGTAATAATAAAAGAACAATAAATAATAATAGTCAAATATCAATACAAAATACCACCAATAATAGAACTGCCTGACTTGAACTCCAAGAGGAAAAACCCGCATCCATTAGGGAGGAAGCAGAGGGAGGGAGCGATGGGCCGTGACGCTGCGAGGGCTGAGAGCATCCAGGGGACACGGAGGGGGTTTGGCTTCCCCGGGCAAAGCTGCTGAGAGCTGGGGAAATGGAGTACCATGAGCAGCCCCTACAAACCCACCCTGGGTCAGGGTAACAGCGGAGAGGCTGAGACTGAGATAAAAAGTGGGGGGAAAGAAATAAAATTCCTGGTGTTAGCTGACCAAAGCAAGGCAGCACGAACAGCCCTAATTCTGTTGTTTCTCAGTCTGGTGCTTGACTTGGTAGTCTTGAAGTTTCTATAAAAACATGTGTTTGGTTGTTCAAAGAAATAGAAATAAATACAATTTTACAGATACTGTCTGAAAAACCTAAAATCAGGAGTAGATGTTCTCAGCATTTAAGATTCTTGCTTTTTTGTGTAAGATGATGCCCTACATCAGTGACTGTTCTACTATGGAGGCCTTAAAAACCCTCTTTCTTTACAGACAAAAAAATATGGGGCAGTCTGTAGCCACAGGCACCAAATCCTACCTACTGTGACAAGCGAAGCATTTGTGCGTACAACAGTTATTTTCTTAAACACTGTGTTCTAATGACAGATGCAGCAGGTGAGTCGCGTTGTTTCACTACCCGAGGAAATGAGAAGCAGCATAATACAAGCTTTTAATGGCTTACATTTGAATAATTTGAACAATACAGGGATTTGTGAAAATAATTTAAATCAGAAGGATTGTTTCTGACAGACAAGGGCTACAAGAACTGTTGTTTGTTTGTTTTCTTTAATTTGAACAATACAGGGATTTGTGAAAATAATTTAAATCAGAAGGATTGTTTCTGACAGACAAGGGCTACAAGAACTGTTGTTTGTTTTCTCACAGGAAATAAACCTAAGGAACTGACACACATACACCAAAAGGCAGGCACGGTACCAGAGGCGTGGGGGAGGAGGGCAAGCCCAGCAGCTGATTTTCTGGGAGAGAGCGGGTGGCAATGGTGCAGAGCAGCTGGACACCCTGCACACATGGTCCCCGGGTGTCCCTGGGACTCCCCGTGGCTGAAGATCAACCATTTCTCCACGCGATGCTGGTGGTGTCTCAGAGAGCCCTCAGGAGCACCGTGCAGAGGAGCCCACCACCCTGGTGTCACCCCTGCGGAGCTGGGGACCCAATGGCTCCCAAGCTCAGTTCCCTGGATGGGAACTCTCTCTGAGGTCCATTTCTAGCACTGGGTCCTCACAGCCTCAGTTTTTAGGCTTTTATTTTTTGTTTAAAATGTTACCAAGCTTTAATTGTATGAACTGACAAGTTTCATGCCAACCATCTGCCTAAATCTGATTTTTCTCTACTAAAAAATAAAATTTAAAATTAGCTCATTCCAAGCAAGCAAGGCTGGTATTGCAGTGTGTGCCCTGAGCAGTGTCCCTCTGGTGTGTGCTGGGCTGGGATTCCCCGGGGCAGGAATGGGAACTCGGGCTGGGCAGAGTAAGGCAGCGTTGGGGGGACACCACGTGTGTGTGTGCCCCGGGACAAGCCCCATTGTTGGGAACTATAAAGTAGTTATTTGTATGAATAAAAGTGCCGCTCTTGTAACACAGAGCCGGTGGTGTCTGCTGTGCCCGGGCACAGAAAAGCCATCTGGGGACCGGTGGACAAATGCCAGTCTTAAAAGAGAAATATTTTCCACAAAAACATCTCCAAGCCAACGTCCCCGTGCCGAGAGAGAAGGCAGCAGAGATGGTTTGTCATGCTGGTGAGGACACACAACCCTGGTGGTCCCAGGCTGCTCCAGCAGCTCTCCAACCTGTGCTCAGCCCAGACACTGAGCGGCCAAAACTCAGCATTTCAAAAGCCAAAGCCCAGTCCCTGCAGTCACCCCACCAGCTCTGGGGCCACCACCTCACCGTGGGGCTGGGCAGCAGCGGGCAGGGACCCATTTCCTATAAAACCACTTACCTTACCTTTGTCTTTTTACCTTTTATTTCCCCCCCCCCCAATCAGTTACGTAGAGGGTGACATCTATAAGACACATCATCTTAAAAGAACAGAAAGGTCTTCATATTTTTGATTCTGGGAGAATATATTATGCATATGATTCCTGGCATGTTTGATATTGAAAATAGCATTAATAATGCATCATAAGCTGCCTGTAGCAGGGCTCATCATTCTTTTTGCCTCCTGACTTGCAATTCAGACATCAAGGCTAATTGGAAAATGTGTTTTCTAGACAGTACTTTCTGAAATCAATGTTTCACTGCACTTAAAAATAAATTAATAAATCCCTACCCAGAGTACCAATATTTTAAACAAAACACTATTCTTACAAATACTGAAAATTTCCAACGTATGATACAGCCTTGTGAACACTGGTGCTTTCCATTTTTGACAAATTGTTATAATTAATTAGTTTAGACAAAACTTTTGAGTCTCTGGTGTATCTCAATATACTATAATAGAAAGAAAATGTAATATTGTCTATGGCTGAGCTCCCAGTTCCTCATATGGGAAAGCTCTCCTTGAGCAATCTCAATTTTTCATTGAGGATTTGGACAGTCTATAGATCCGAATGCAAGAAATGAGTTTTCCTCTGAAAAGGTATTTCATGCTAAGCCAAGGGGCTCTGCCAATGTCATCTCCTCACACGCTGGTTTTGGGGTGATTTTTTTGTGTACAAACATTTGTCACAAACGGTACATTATTCACTCGGCTGCGATGTGAGGAGAGGAAAATCCTCTGGAAATGACATGGACAAACCCAGTAAGGAGGGACCAAGGGCAGAGAGCACCGAGGTGGGAAACCATGGCCAGGACCCGTATGGCCACGTACACACAGTTATGGGGTGTGTTTCCTGGACACAGCCCGTGAGGGCTTCTTCTCACTGCTCTTTAGATAATCATTAAACTGAGACTAGTTTGATAAAACACTTTTTTTTTTTTTTTTTTAAAAATACAACCCAGCCTCCCAAAGGAGCGTGCCTGTCCTCACCACGCTTTTACTGAGGAACTTGCAGGTTCAGAACAAAACTTCTGCTCCAAACCAGCAGAAGCAAAGCCCGGGTACGGGGCACTCCCTCAGGACACCAGAGACTTGTGTTCAGGGCCCTGGGTCACCGGGAAAGAGCTTCTTGTCTTGCAGGTTCCCACTCCGAAGAGAACCACCACACACTGCCAGGTGCCAGCAAACCCCTCGGGACCTACCCCTAGTGTGAAGTTAACGTGCTCCTTTCTCAACAGTCAGCAGGTTTAGAGCAAATCTCAGCTTCCATAAGGGAAAAACCCCAACCAGTGTTTCCCTGCATGACAAAAGTTCTGAAACTTATCTTTGGTGAAATAATATCTGATTTAAATTCAAAATAACACCCCCCCACCCTAGCACACAGTGCTGGGTCTCTGCAGATGGAAGTCTTGCCAAAGTTTTGCTTGGGATTAGATCAATTCCACAACAGCTTTAACAGACACATGTCAAATCCTGACTGACCTGGATTTTTCCTCAAGGATTAATCCTTAACCATAGTCAGCTTTAACTCCCTGATGGGCGACCACGTTTACAACCCCCAAGCAAACATCTGTATGCAGTGTGCAGATTCCTCTACACCGGGGGGGTGAGCAGTTACCTGTTTGCATCACACACAGTCATGTCTGAATTCCATCCACTGATTATTCATCGTAAGTTTTACAGTTTCTTGGGGTTTTTAAATGGAAAACATAGCTGGGTGTCAATTGTGTGAACAGTTACTGGTTTATAGTAAAACAGAAGAGATTAATAGAATTTCAGTACTGGGAGGCATAATTCTGCTAAATCTCAACATGTACATTTTAAAGCACCTGTTAAGCTTTTACATCTCTTATGGCTAAGTTTCAGAAAGTGAAATAATTAATTAGAAACAGTGGCTTTTATGCAGGAAGCTAATTTTTCTTTTTTCTCAGATATTCCACAACACTTAAGGTACAAAAAACCATGGAGTTATTGCAATAATATCACAATAGTTCACCTACCCTTGTTCTCAGTTAAACTGGAGCAACTCAGAATAATTCCACTGATTTGGGGCGGATTATTACCGAGGAATACATTTCTGACTTAATTCCCTCAGTTTAATATTGTGTCATTCCATTATCTTGATCACAAACTGTTTGAGCAATGCCATCCATTTTCCCAAGGAATTCATGCCCGTATAATTAACTACAATCAACTGTAACACAGATGGCATCGTATGATCCAAAAGCACTTTATGGAAACATTTTAAGCATGTTATTAACATCCCTAAATAACTATTTAACGCTACCTCTCCAACCCTCTTCTGCATGAACACACAACACAGCTGGATTTGAGAGTGGAAAAGGCAGTTCTTGGAATTATTCAATTTATAAATGAGTTTGAAAATAACAGACTCTACTGTGGCAACAAAAACATTGTGGTTTAGATTTCAGAATTAAGACTAATTTCCAGAATGACTCATGCTCATCAAACTCAGCTCTGAGGAACTGGGCAGCGTGGAAGGATGCTGATGGGAGGAGGAACCTTTCTTTAGGCTGACCATGGTTACCCAAAACATATATTCCTATTTGGTAATTTGTGGGTTTTTTCTCAGCAGATGTGTGCCCATCTAAACTAAGAGAAAAATTTACATTTAACAGCAACAGACAAGAATTAGAATGGAAAGTCAATTAATCTCCCACATGAAAATAGTTACAAGTTGTTAGACGTCCATCAAGCCCCAATGAAAACTGCTCCTTCAACATGAAAGAACTGAGGATCCGATTATTTCAAATTTGATTTTTTCATTACTAAATAACCAATTTAAATAACATTTTCTTGCCAGCTGCTGAGACTCCCCTCCCTAATTCCAGCCCATCTCTGCCCATTTATTTAATAGAGAGCAAGTCCCTTGGCCCATAAACTGATTTAGAAAGAAAGAAAAAATAGGATGAAGCTACCAGCCTTGGTGGAGATGTATCGTGACGATGCTCTAGGGGGATGGGCTGCAGCACCCACCGAAGGCGGCAGCGCTGGGGATTAACACCATTAACACCATTCCTCTCCCACAAACATCCGCTCGACGAGGGCGGTCCTGGAGGTTCCAAAATCTTATGGAGTCAAGTGTGAGCCCTCCTGCATGATCTCAGATGGGAAGACGGTCCCTGGGAAAGACCGAGAGAGCTTTGGGTAAATTCTGGTGAAAGGGAGATCTTCTGCACTTTAGTAACCGAAGAGACAACGTGCTGCTCTTCACACCGGGTGAGCTTCTGGCAAGGACATGGCTAGAGATGATAGTGCCAAGAGAGAGAGAGCCAATTTAGAGATGACAAACCAGTTTAGAAAAGAGAAGATGTTCAAATATCACATGTCGATCACCTAAGATTCAGTGCTCAGTATCACACTATGGGGCTTCTTAACATTTGGAGTGGGCAGCACCAAACGAGTGCCCAGTGTGAGAATGCTGTAACAAACACAATCATTTATATGTGCTGCCATACAATTAGCTGGAATTATTTCAGGCACATGGATTTCTGTCACAGGGTAGCATCCTACCATGTGGAAGGGAAACAAAAAACAGTTCTGGAAATTATTGTGTGCTGTGAGGGTTATTAACTCAGCCCTATATTCCTTCCTGAAGGAAGCTGGCAATTCAGTGTATCAGAGCTCTGCAGGACTCAGCGAGAGCAGCGCTTTTTAATTATTGTTGTTCATCCATGTATTTGTACAATCTCTCAGAGAGAGATCTCTCCACAACACGTCTCACCTACACGTTCCCAGCAAATTCTCTTGTAGAAATCACTAACGAATACACTAAGAAACAAACCAAACCTTCACTTCTCTGTAAATCTTGCTGAGGAGATCAGAACTGCAGTATTTAGCTTATAACTTAGCTACAAAATAGCAGTTTGTTGTTTGTTTGGTTGTTTGTTTTTTTAAATAAATCAGAAAAGCTATTGAATTTACCACTAGTACCTTTAAGGACACCAGATCACTGTTTAATATGAACTGCTGCATATCTAATTATTTCGTAAGGTTTCACAGACTTCACAATTCACCCAATAATCAGCACACAAGCAGTGTCTTTTCACAGCTAATAAGTGTTACAAAGACACAAGAAGTCAAAATACCCAGCTCAGGAATACTGCACATTTTAAGTTATGCACTGAACTGAATACATGTTAAGGTAAAATATGGAAATATTTAGCAAGCAGAAAAGGATTTGAAAAATAAAAAGGAAAAAATGCTGTTAGCCAACTTCCTACAAGAGCTCCACTTGGGTTTAGAAAGAAGACATCTCTGCAGGGAATTCAGGGGATAGAGAAGAAGGTGCTGCCAGAAGAGCCGTATCCCCTTCCAGCCTCTCCCACGGCCACTGAAACCAGGCTCTTCCCATCTGTTCCACAAATGAGGCACTTGAGCCAAGGTCCACTCAAGTCAGTAGGAAACTTTCCATCCACTGTCATGACCCAGTCATTAATATACTCAGAAGTCAAAAATAAGTGCCTAAAAGCCACTTCTCCAGAGCTTCCGTTTACAAGTAAAAGATTCTCTCTCCAGAGATGGACCAAGTCCTGGATGGAGTAAATCGATGGAGAGGAGGAAGAGGAGGAGGAGGAGATGGGGACTCAGGCATGCTCCTGCAAATCCCAGCCTGACCCAGGCACCGAAGGGCACAGAAAAGGACCCTACTTGTGCTATGAAGATCCTGTAACCCATGACAAGTACCTAAGTACTCTTTATTTACTTAGAAAGGGAGAAGCACTCAAAGTTTATCTCGTTAAATACATATGTCCAACAAAAAAGATCTTTAAAAAAGATTTTGAAGCCAAACAAATCCAACCCATCCCACGGAAGACAACTGAATAAAATCCTAAGGGCAAAATGCCCGCCCAGAAAATGAACAGAAACACCAAAGAACCTTGCAGTAGCAAAGCTCCCGTTTCTCACAGGAGAGGCAAAGCAACAAGTAGGAGGGGAGATGCTGGTGGCACGCAGGAGAGCACAGAGTGAGGAGTGAGAAGTGCTGGTGACACCAACCAAACCCTCTGGCCTGGGGGGCTGGTGACCGAGCCCCCGCCGCGCTGAGGCCGCGCAGCCGCGGTGGAGTGTCACTGCTGCTGACCTTCTCAAGGTGAGCTCTGCTAGGAGGTGGCTGTGCATTAACCAGATGTGCATGGCTGAGAATTTTTAAGCTATAATCTGCTTTTTTAAAGCTGATTTGATCTGAGATCTAGTCAAACCTTTCTAGTCAATTTTCTTGGCATGCATATACCCGTTTCTCTGTAGCTTCACAGAAGAGATCAGGGAGGGGCTTTAAGGCTTCATTTCAGCATAGGAAAACCAGACCCACTCTGAAATACTTCAGGTTTTTAAGGGGGATAAAAGGGCAAGGGTTCTTTCAATCCATCTTTAACATTAGAAGTCAAAGGATTCATTCCTCTGGGAAAATCATATTTTCAAGAGCTCTATAGCGTTTATTTTAAACCAAGACTAAAAACCAGAAGACAGGCTGACTAAAATTTACTTGCTGGAGTTCACTTCTCCGTGAAGTCAGTCATTCCTGAGGGGCATCTTCTGGCAGCAGTGTCTGCTGATGTCTCATCTCAGAACTTCCTCCCGAGCAGGTATCTCCCTCACAGATTTGTTCAGATGATCATGAAAAGTGCTATGTAAAAAGAACATTCTCACAACCATCTCCATTTACAGGCACAAAACAGCTACAGAGGAGCTCTTTCCTAGCTATTTGTCTAGTGTGGCATCTGGGTAATCTGGGATTTGGAGTCAGGATTTTCCAATCTTTTAGCCTTTTGCACTTACTCCTTCAGAGAAAGTTGCCTCTCACAGGGGTTGCACTTCACTGATCTTTAGCTAAGAGGATGCATCCATCTGGCTTCTGACTTTCCAGCTCATCATTGCTCTTAAAAGCAGGGAGCAGCCAGCACCGGAGGCACTGGATCCTGCCTGCAAGAAGCCAGCTGGGGTGCCTGGGGGCACATGAAATGCTGCCTGCCAGGGTCTGGGTCCCTACCAGCAGCTGGCATCACCACTACAGTCTGCTGAGCCCTGGGAGACGAGATGTGCAATATAAGGCTGCGGCTCGAGGGTAATCCGAGTTTGTTAAAGTTTTGACAATAAAATAGGTAGGAACTGTGCAAATACACAAAGAACATTAAAGCTGTAAGAGAAGCCCCTGCCCCGGCAGACGTGCTGATGCTCCTGTGGCCAGAGGCACAAGCTGCTCACCAGCAGGCAAAGGGTTGCACAGCCTGGAACGGGAGCTGCTTTTGGGCTGGCAGATCCTGCCACGTCAATGTGTGAGGGATGTGAGAACGTAACTCTGAGTGCCAGCTTCACAGTGTGCACTGAAGGGCTGGACGCTGACGCAATCACCTGCTTCAGGAGATTTACTAACGTGATGTGTAAGGAAGTCTAGTCACGGCTGGGGGACAGAACCACCAGAGGAATTACTGCTGAAATGGGGAGGTTCAGAGCTGCGAGCTCCGGGGCCCACAGCTCGGGCTGGCAGGGTTTGATATTCTGCTACAGATCTGTAAGAAGAGTAAAGGGTAGGATATAAAAATCTGCTGATAATAGAAGATTATTTAGGTCAATCAAAATGAGAGAGGAATATAAAGCAAGAAAAAGGAAGAAAAAATAAAACAATAGCCTCCGACTAGAAAATTAGGTAACCAAGCAACATGAAATTCAACATGAGAAAGCACACGATAATCTATATTTAAAAATACGACTTGGCATATCCTGCTCACAGAGATTTAGAAGAAAAGACCAAGTCATCACTGAGGACATCACTTGTGTACACAGCTAGGTAAATAAGATATTAGATTGAATAGCAGGAGATGGGAAATAAGATGAAAAGCATCATGATGTTGCAGAAAGATAACTGGTAGGTATTCATTATTACACTCATATTTGTTTAAAAGAAACACAGCAAGTACAACCAGGTAATAAAAGAATCAGCATCTGTAATTTTTTTTGAAGAAACGTTAAACAAGCAGTTATAAAATGATTGATATTGTGTAGGCGAAAAGGGTGTTTCATTTTCCTTTTCACACCAATGCAGGAACAAGAAGCCACCCTACGGGGCATTGGCAGGAAGAAGTTACATGATTATCCCAGTGGAAAGATGAATTTTCCATTTTATATCACCCACCACAAACCCTGGCAGCAGCAGTTTTCCCTCCTTCTGCTGCTCCTGGGGTTAAACCACCACAACCCAAATTCAATGTGGGAGAAAAAAGCTGCTGCTTGGTGTCCCACGGTGCAGGGCGAGAGGGGCAGAACCGGCAGCGCCCACCCAACGCCACCCCAACAGCCTTTGTGAGGTACCAGGGCAGCTCCACTGCTCCTTGGGCTGAGTCCCAGCAACTAAAGCAGCAGCACAACAGGTTCTGCTGCAAATGCCTCCCAAGTATTGTCAAGAGCAGAACCACACTGCTCTGAAAGCCTTGCTTTGAATGTACAGTGCACAAATCCTTTCCAAATGAGGAAGCAGAGCGTTCCCTGGGCTGGGGTTACCAACGGAGCCTCTGCTACACTCATCAGAAACCATCCTGCAATGGGGACTCAAGGGGACCTTCCGGGAACAGTAAAGCAGAATATAGAAGAGACAAGTGTTTTAATTTGCAGGTTTAGCACCTACATCAGCCCTAAAACGAACAGCTTCAGGAGATCCTTCCTTCCCCATCTGTTACAGCTTCTATATACTCTGACTGCAGAAGGATGCTAAAAGAAATAAAGTCAGTATCGTTAAAATTCCCATCTCTGTAGCACAGAGTGTTGGGCTCCTGAGTCCCTGCACTACCTGCAGCTTCTCCAGTGAAAGGAAACCCAGTTGGCTTCCTCCAAAACCGTAACTCCCTCCTCCCCACGTGAACTCCTTCTCCAGATTTGACACCCGGTTCTGCAGACTTAAGAAGATTAAAAAGCTTCAGAAAGCAAACAATCTTTGATTGTGCATCTGAACCACTGAAACACAGTACAGAAGCAAGTATAAATAAAGCTGTTACAGCTCCAGTGAATAAACAACAGTGCAAAGCCTGGAGAAGTAGCAGACCTTAGCTAGGGAGAGACGCAGTGATGCGAGGGAAGCCGGACAGACGCGGGACACAGAGAGAGGCCGCTCAGACAGAAAATCATTAAC